AGATTCTTATTTACATATTGTATCATTACATTCTTACCGTGACAATAATTGATTGACATGTCAATGGTGATTCCACAATACAAAATAATCTTAGTTTAATCTGGATCTTTCTTTACCGTACGGTGAGCATTAATCGGACAGTCAAATATAAAGGTTCTTTTATGTTTTTTATTCATCGCGACTTTTACAATAGTTGGTAAACTAAAAATTAATTATATTATTATCACTATATTATTTCTTAAATTTTAAGTCAATATTTTTGGCATTTATTTTTCTTCAAATTTTCTCATAAAAAAATTTTAGTTGTCACTAATTTTAAGAAATACAGTGATAAGTAACTCGACGTATAAGAATAATTTTTCGTGTCATACACTAGACGAATCCGTCGAAACTGATTCGGGAATTTGAAGTTTTTTATTTTCAAAATAAATCTTTACAAAACTTTTATCACGTCTTGTAGTTCTTGTCCATTAATAACATTTTTGAACTCACCTGTTTCATCTGAATTGTTTCCTTTCAAACTAACACACGAAAGATTTACTACTATAACAGTTTCAAGATTTACTAATATTTGGCAGAGACGAGAGCTGCAGGAAGTTTTCGTGTGCTTATCGCTCCTCGTGTCTGTGTGTTATGTTGGCAAGCTGCGGTTTCTTTTTTTTTTTTTTACTTTTAAAAAAGGGGGGCGAAAGAGTAGAGTAAACTGCGATAAAGGTTGGGGTGAGTAAATTTTGCTTCGCTTGGAAAGTCAATAGAACCTGTCGTGTGTGTGAATTTTTACAGATAACGCGCCTCCTTTATTTATTATTTTTCGAGGGTCCGAAAAATTAACCCGCTTGCGGTTTTTTTTTATTTTCGCTTATCTTATCGCGCCAACAAAATTTCCCCAACTTTTTATCAAAAGTCGATCGCGAGTTTTCCGCGCTCGCGTTGAATATTATGAATTGCATACCTTCGATCAATCGACGCTCGGAAAGTTGCTTGTCGGCCAAGTGGAAAAATTGCCCGAAAGCGACAAACTCTCTCTCTTGTAAAGTAATCTAACTAAATCTTTAAACGTCTCGTTAAAAGTTTTGTCAGCGACGAAGTCTGCGAATCGAGTACACGCGATCGGGGGGGGGGGGGGGGGGAAGTATTCTTCGAAATGGCGCTGATCCGAGAGGTAGCCTTGTGACGTTATTAAATTTCAATCCGCGCGCGCGTATATCCCACAGCTCCCGCAAGCGCCGCAGTTCTCAAATTATTCAAGTGTGAACCTCCCGAAAAAAAAAAAAAAAAAAAAAAAAGAGGATGGCGTCAGAGGCAAATCGATTTACCCTTCCAGAGATTCCCTTCACCTCCGGCGCTCTCTCTCTTTTTTTCTCTCCGAAAGCCAATATCCCTCTCCGCGCGTATAGCAATTATAAAGTCCGACACCCGAGCAAGCGTCTCAGTTTGCCTTTTTACGCGCCAATCGACACTCTCGCAGCGCAGCCCCCTGCCGCAGAAAAGTCAGAGTGCTGCTTTTAAAAAGCATCAGCAGCACAGCGAACGAATGGAGCATTGTGTGTGTGTGTGTGTATGTGTAAGATCGGCTATCGCGTTTGGTTTTGTTGCGCCGAGCGGAGAGCTGTCCATTGTTCGCAGAGCGGCATAATTGTCTATCGCGCTCGTGAATCGGTGAAGCCAACTAATGACTACCGGAAGACACCTGTGATCGATAGCAAGCGCAAAAATCTCTATTAAAATAAAACCGCTTATCTCTCTCACTCTCTCGCACCGCGAGCGATGCAGCAAAGAGAACCTCGCAGGCATCCCCGCAATATCGAGCATTCCAAAGGCTGTTTGAGCTACTGATTAAAACGCCCAGTGAGAGAGAGAGAGAGAGAGAGAGAGAGAGAGAGAGAGAGAGAGAGAAGGTAAACTCGATTTAGCTCTTGCAGCTCATTCGTGAAATTGTTTGTGTTTGCGGCCGATATTAAATCTCATTATTACGGCCTTACCGTTTTACCGTCGAACGAATATTTTTTTTTAATTACTTGCACCGTCGCTGGAACACTTGGCCCTTATAAGCTTTATTAGAATTAATTTATATATTTCGATTACAGGAGGATGATAAGTGTCGTCCGCATAGCTCCTTTAATTTCACTGAAAATTACACGTCAATTATACTGGCTACTGCTGTTAATTCCTCTCAATTCGTCTCAATTATAGAAAATGCTTTTAATTAAACTTTATATAAGAGAGATAAAAATCCACATTTTTTTTTCGTGCGTCGAGCTATTCATTCTACAGAAAAATTATCATTTCCAGCATTATGGATTTTAACGTGCTCGTATAGGGGTCTAGATCCTTATCGCGGCAAGCTCGCCGGGCTATGTATAATTTACGCCTACAATGATATTAAAAGTGCTCTCGTATGATTACGTATATTCGTACAGGCGCGCAGCAACGAATATGTACAATCTGATAAAAACTTATATATTATAATTGTTTAGGGAAAAAGGCGACCGAGCAAGGAAACTGCCGTCCCCTCGTATACTCAATTTTTGGAATTACTCCCATCGCGCGGCATTCGCACGCGCGCGCGCGCGCATTAGTCAGCTGGCATCGAAAAATTATCCAGCCCGTCGCGTCGCGTCATTAAACAATTTCCCCTCCCCATCTGCGCTGTAATCGTGATAATTCAGCGCCTTTCCCCTCGGCGGAATGCAAGGGTTATTTCCGTTTTTCCTCGTAGGCCAAGCGTGTACAGATACACACACTGTTCTCCTCTCCTATCCGTTTCTTCTTTTTTTGCTTCTTCCGCAGCGGCGCCCGAAGAAGAAACAAACTTGGCTCGCGCGCTTGTCAACGCAAACAGTTAGCGCGTTATTTGTAGCGGGAGATAGGCTATCCGACCGAGAACTTTGCCTGACAAATGCTGCCCGTTAATGAAACAACTTTTAATTTGATCATCCGGCGTCGATACTTTATGCGGCTAGGGAAAAACTCCCGACAATGGAAGCCTTTTTCTTGCTTTGAAAACGGAGATGGGAAGTTCTTGCCGTGTGCTCGTATATGTTTTTAAGCTTGCAATTATTGGAAAATAGATCATCCTTAGAGTTTAATTAAGTTGCGAGCCTTGTTTATCCCGCGCGGAGAGATTATAGCTGTACTCGGAACAAAAAAAAAAAAATTACGAAGGAAATTCGTAAGCGGAATGAACGAGTATTGCTCGCAGCGGCAGCGTATATACACAGCCCATGGAAATTTATTTTTCTCGCCCGAGATACGAGAAATGCTATAACATTGGATTTCTGCGATGTAACACTGATGGGGATTTCTTTTTTTTCTCTTTTGTTTTGTCTTCAATCTTATGGCTGATACCGATAGCTGCGAATTCCGCGAATGAAACTTGGCCGATAAAAAGGGGTACGTCAATGATGAATAACAAAATTCCAAGGAAAGAACATTTGATGCTGGAGAATGAGCTAAAGAGAGAGAGAGAGAGAGAGAGAGAGAGAGAAAATCGCAAATGTCACAGTGGTCTGGCAGCGTGGCCGAAAAACGTAATTGCACGGAAAATCATTTATTCAAATGAAAGTCAATATCATGCAAAATAGCACGCGAGCACAAGAGACATTAATTCGCGTCGACAATTCTCATCTTTGGAATGTTCGTTCGGCCCCCGATATGATTGCCCGCTTGCGCGAGCGCTCGCGGGAAGTATGAAATAATAGCAATGATGGCTCTTTCAGAAAACATCGTTGCAAGCCATTTGGCAGCAGTTCAAATCCTATTCATGCAAATATTGGTATCGAAAGGGGTTTATACAGAATTGCAGATTTGGAATTCGTTATCGTTTTGCGCTCGCTTTCCAATATTCTAGCAGCGGCCAAGATTTATTACGAAATCAAATTCGCGTTTGTTTGCCCTCTCGCCAAACTTACTGTCTGTGCTGCAGTCTAAAAACTGATTCGCTATGGAAATTACACGAGCTACGTGTCTATAAATTTGTGCAGCGCGAGTAATATAAACATTTGATTTAGAGATAATAGATTATCGAGCGCTAAATGGAAATTACGCCGTGCCAGTTTCATGATTACGTCCGCCCCCCTAAACTTTATGATTATTGGAGCTCCATTAGCAATAACGCATTCCTGTGCGTCGCTTTATTCAAATCACTCGCTGCACAGCTATTTCACCTGCATCCTTCTCTTTCTGATGTTTAACGCGTGTAAAATAATTCTGTTCCCGAGTCATCGATCAAATCCGCTGACGATACGAAATAAAACCGACCGGCGAAAAAGCTCGGCGATCGCCAAAATAATCGGCATCGGAGAACAAAACGAAACAACGTAAACATGGCAAAACTGTCTCTAAAAAATCCGCATGGTTGACGCGCGCTCGTAAAACAAGCGAAAAACAAAGGCAAAAAGATGCGGAAAAAAATCCTGAAAAAAGCAGCAACATTCCCGCGAGAGCCGTCCCTGACAGCGGGTTAAAATTAAAAACAAATCGGCCGCGCGCGCGGACACGTAGCCATCAATAAAAAGTGTAGCTTTTGTCCGGGTGCGTACGGCCGTCAATATTAAAATCCCCTCGCCCCACCCACAAATGCATCCTACGGAGCTTGCAATTAAACCTCTCTCGTTTCGTGCCCGCGTGCATCGGCTCGGTCGATCAGAGAGCGGGATGGGTATCTATCGCGGGGCGGGCATTTGAAAGTTGCAGCGCGATCGCTTGGACATCATGCAGTCGAAATCAATATCCCGTGGTCGGTCTCTCTCACTCGCTTCGTCGATATAAGCTTCACTCGTTTCGCCGGCTCTCCGCTCTCTCTCTCTCCTAAATATATACGTATACACACACGCACACACACACACACACACGCACACACACATAATGCGAGCGCGCGCGACACAGCTCCCCCCGAGAAAGGAAGCCGCGCGCACTCCCCCCACTATACCGTCGTCTCTCAGAGGGAGCAGCGCGGTCGTCGTGCGGCAAAGAGAGCGTCAGTCGAGTGGCAAGCGCCGAGTAATTCGGACGTGCTTGCGCACGCTCTCAACCCTTTCCGTTTGCCACTGATCGCTGTTTTGTTTTGTTTCGTTTTTTTTTAAGCACGCGCTCTTCTGTTTTGCAAATACACGCGCGCGCGCACACACACACACACACACGATTCAGCCAAGTGTCGTCACAAGTGCTCTTCTAAAACGGAAGTCGTTTGGGTTTTTCTGTTTGTTGTCACGTTTCGTCGAGGTGTGCATTGGAAATTGTGCGCGAGGGAGATCGACGAAAAAAAATAACGATGGTTACGTCAAAGGATTAGGCTGGTGTTTGGTCGAAAGAGCTAAAGTACAAAGTCGCGGCTGGAAGAGAGAGAGAGAGAGAGAGAGAGGCGAGGAAGATCGGCAAAGAAGAGACTTGAATGCCTGTGTGTGGTCCGTAGCCGGCAGCAGAGCGCGGCGGTCCAGCGGATCAAGGCCCTGCGCCGTGCAACTTGCTCTTCTCTCTTCGCGTGTGTGCTCCTCTCTTTCCGTTGCAAAACCTTCTCTCGTGTGAGTTGTGTGTGCGCGCGTGTGTGTGTGTAGCTGTATACGCACACACACACACACAGTCGTGTATATACGGGCGCTTGGTGCGAGAGTGGTGTCTGGTCTATCGTTATGACGCGAGCAAAAGAAGCGCAACACAACTGAGGAAAAGAGGAGAGAAGGCGTCTCATGATCCTGGGCAATTGCAGTATGGAAGACTTGAGCGTGAGTAGCGGCAGCGAATAAATCTTCGTTTGCCTCCCTATTCAACGGTCCTCGGCGATATCGCGGACGTCCTGGCAGTGCCGAGCGACAGTCGTAATTGGCTAAACTCGCGTTGCTTATTTTCGAGGGAGCGGAGCTTTAAACGCATCAGCGAACTTTGGCGCGGCACGCGCACGGATTAGCCTCGTTACGTCTGTCGTTCGCGCGCGCAGCTGTGCGACGAGAGACAGAGAGAGAGAGAGAAAACTGTATAGCGAGTTTCTTGAGCGACACGAAAAACCCATTTCGCTCGGGCGTATAGCCTTGAGGAACGTGCGTGACGATCCCGCACGGGCGCTTTTCTAAAGAGCGTAATTCGCTCGGGCTATGCCAAGGTTGTGCGCGGCCGCGCGACTCTTTTTCTCTCCGCACCGCTTCGGCTTTTGAGCCTGCGCCGCAGCCGCGTCTGTCGCCGCGTTTGCCTGGGATTTTGTGTTTTTGAATATTCACCAGCGCCGGAGCAGAAATGCCGTCTTTTGATGTCTATGACATTTCTCCTTTTTGATGTTTGTCAATTTCTGCGGTTTATGTAGTGCCGATGTGTATCCTACAAGCCGAGAGAGCTGCGCGTGCAGTTGCCGAGTGAAATGTTTGCCTATTGTGCCGTGAATGGGTGTATATATGCTTTGACTTCGAATGCAGGCAGCCTGGTGTTTCTGCAAATCGACTATATAGGCATCACTGGGAAATTCAATGTCTGAAATTCTAATTTCTCGTTTGCCTCTCAAACAATCTAACATTTAGTACAGCGCTCTCTACACTCGGATATCCCGTCTGATATATATGCAGAAGCGTTTGTTATGAGATAGAGTTATGGATATGTATATATATATTTGACGAAAATTGTATTATGCAGAGCAGTGGGTACACTTCGTTCTCTGAAATAGAACTTGATTGCACTGTATATATATGCGCGCCAAATTAATGCAATGATTTTGATTACATTCGTCCGGCTTGTTTGCCTCGAATGCAACTTTACACTGCTCGCCTGCGCTAATTCAGCGATATTGTTAGTCTTGGCGATTCTGACCAATCCGTGAAATCCACCTGCGTGAAATTCTTCGCGTCCAACGCAAAGATGAAGATCGACGCGTATGCCCCGGAGTTGCGTCGACTGATCATTTCAACAAACTCAACGGGAGACGCCAAGTGTAGGCTCACGTGGACGCAGTTCGTAAAACACGCCGTAAATCAGGCGGGGGCTAGTGGGAAAAACGTTGTCCGGCGCAAAGCAACGGCGTGCGGCAGAATACAAAACTTCCGCTCGGCGCGCACACGCACGGCAGATAGTCCGGCGCGTTCACACCCTCGCAACAACAAACGCCGTGGCGGCAGCAACGTGCGTCACGTCACGGCAGCAGCCCTCCTCTCGCACCATACATCACTCCCGCTCTCTTTGCCGTCGTCGTCGTCTTCAACGGCGGCGGCGACACGACAGTATTGTAGCCTTCTTGCGCGCCTCATTTTTTATCGTTCAATGAAAAGACAGAACGAGAAAAAAAGCGAAGCTCGCGGGGCGCGTGAATTGAAACGTCTTGTCTCTCTCTTTCTCTCTCTCCCTCCCGCATGCCGCCGCGCGCGAGCGGGAGGTTACAAAACTTTTGGCAAACTCCGCGGGACGCGGGCGAGGCGGGCGGCGGGCGCAGAGCTTAATTAGATCTCGGCAGCATCTGTCGACGCCGCACTCATGTTTAATGCATGCGCGTCCTCCTCATAACTCATCCCTCGCGCTCGCGCATAGGCCTCTCTGCCTCTGTCGTCTTTTGCTAACGGTCCATATGCCGTGTTTACGCAATTCGCTCGCCCGGGCGCAGAGACGTGCACGTCTAAAAGAGAAGTTTGTATTACGCCTATCTCGCGACCGACTTTTCTTGGACGCGCGAGCACGAGTTTCTGTTATAGGGAAAAGCGAGCAGATGGTTTTTGACAAGGCCACTGCTACCGCCGCTCCGCTTTGGGGCGTACGCTCCGAGGAAATGAAAAATCGAGCGAGCCAAAGGGCCCCGCTATAATGTGTTTATGAAGGCGCCTTTTTCGTCTGACCGTCCGACATATGTTGCCTACACCGCGGGCTATAAATTTCCTTTCTCGCTAAACGCTCTGTGATTATTAGCTCCTAGACGCGATGATTTACTATACCTAGGATCGTAAAACGGTCGCTTGTGCTCATTTTTGTTTCTCTTATTTTTCGTGTGTGTCTTGAGATTTTATTACAGCGACGAAAAATAAAATAAAACAAAAAATAACGTCGGCTTACGTTTTTATAAACTTACGGCGCGGGAAAGGGATATTATAGACTTTCATTCTCTCTCTCTCTCTCTCTCTCTCTTGGTCGACAAAGTAGAATGGATTTTATGGCTTTATCACGAAAACGTCAAGCCGCTCGCGCGACGAACGTAGAAAGTAAGTAGATCGTGAGCTGGGCGTTATACAACTCGTTAAAAATGGAGCGAGCGTTGTGCATTGTCAACTTTGCCGGAGTTTCTTGTTGTTTCGATGTTAATTGCGTCTGCGCAAAGTTGTGCTGCACTTCTTTTATCGAGCAACAACACGTTCGACAGCTCGATTCGCCCCCTCCACCCTCCACGAACTTTCTCGAGGCACTTTGAAAGCAGGTAAGCCCGCGCGCACCGTTATCAAAAACGATGATTGTCAGCACAAAAGAGTCTCAACTTTCGCTTTGGCGCCGCGTCTTTTTTCTCCTCGGGAATTCCGAACTTGCCGCCGCTGTCGATGAACGCACTGTGTGTATATATACTACTACTCGGCGTGTACTTTGCTTCAAAGCCTCGCAAACAAACTTGAGGAAAGAAATTCAACTCGCGCGTCAAGTATCATCCACTTTATATATAGACACACTTTGCCTTGGTTGATCGTGGTATTTACCACGCCATACCTAGCCGCGAAGATATAACTTTCTTGTTGAACATCCTCGACGCAACAAGAAAAAGTAGTAGAAGAAATTAGCTTTTTATATATATACACGACGAGGGAAACATTAACAGCGCAGCGCGCATCAACCACTTTATGACTCGCTTCTGCCGAGAGCGCCTCTTTTTACATTGACGCCGTAAAACCTGTCGCGCGAGCGCGCGCACGCCTATAACCGAATAAACAAACAAAACCGCAATATGCCGCGGCAACGGTACTATTCCGCACGTACGCGCGCGGCCGCGACGTCCAACTTCCTTGTGCTGCAGGTTCCGCGCGCGAGCGCTTTTCAACTTTTACCCCGAAAACTTGGGGGCACACGCGAATTTATTATACGACTGAAGGAGAAAAAGGAGGCCGCTGCTTCGCTAGAGAACACTCAGAAGTATGATAACGGTCATACTTGAAACTTTTGCTGTTTTCATTCCACGAGCTTCGAGCTTTCTTTCTTCGCTTTTTTTCTTAATTTGTTGGATAAAAGTTGATGTATGCCTATTTCTCTCTCTCGCTCTCTCATTCCTCGTTTTCACATTTGCGAGTTTTCCTATTAAATTATACTCCTTTTTTTACGCGCACAGTTATGCTTCTATAAACTACGCAATTTTACTGCGTAGCTCTTTAATTAACGTTCGACGTTGAAATAAAATTCACTCTTTCACCCTTTCACTCTCTCTCTTTCTCTCTCTCAATACTCACACGCTTACGCGTGAAAAGCCATCCTTTCAATTACAAATTGAGTGTAAAAGAATGGAATCGCGCAGACCACTGAGCAAACGAGCAAAGTTACACAAACAAAATCCATATCTTCCGCAGAGTTGTGAAAGCCCTCGGTTTTCCCGCAAACGCCAGCATATTCCCTCCAATTATCGCTGCGCAAGCGTAATCCTCTCGCACCGTGGTCTAACGAGAAGGTCGGTCCCCTCCAATTGTGTCGGAGAAATTTCAAGAAAACAATAAAGGGCTCGGCCGGCCGTGAATTCGTGGTTTCGGCTGCGCTATGCCTACTTGTGCTCGTTAAACGCGGATGAACGTCTTTACAACACCTATGCAGGCGACGACTTTCCCATAAGGATGAAAGAGTCCGATCGACCGAGGAGCAAGAAAAAGTAAAGCGCGCCGACGCTGCCGCCGCGGGATGAAAAGCCACTCGCCGCTTTTTCCCTCATACAGTAATTGATAGGGACGTCGGCTCATTGTCACTGCGTTCACGATGATCCATCGTGTAAACATTACCGATCTTCCCTTTTTCCTTTTTTTTTTATTTTATTTCGTTTACTCGCGCTCCACGCGATGAAGTCATAATTGCTATCGAGGAAGTCGTTTTCCCTCTCTCTCTCTCTGTTTGGATTTTATGTTGTAATGAGGTTTGCCGGACAATGGATGTAGGAGAGAGATCGTTTTTCGATTATACTCTGTAAACAAGCGACGCGCGATACGTGTGCCTGTCCCTGCTACATATCCCCTTCCGATAAAACACGAGAGAGAGTATTGGTTTTAGATTCGAATTTCTCTCGTTTTACGTACAGTGCACACGTGAGCAAGACTTTATACACGCCGCGCATTATTGACGCTTGATACCGGTCGTTCGTTTCCGAGTTGCTGGGTAAATATAAAATATGCGCAACTCCGCGGACGGGAATTGGCGGCGATGCGCGCGCCTCTGAAAGGAGAGTTCGCTCGCGCGGCGGCTGGATTTAATTGTCGCGAATCTCGGGCAAGCCGCGCCGTTGGAAATTTAATGAATCTGGGAGGCCTGTCAGTTGAGAAAAGCTCTTTTCTCTGTCGCGGGCGAGACAATCCGCTGCTCCGGCGAATAAACAATAGGAGCGTCGTCGTTCGCAATCACTCGCGCCATACAGACATCAAAAGCAGTCGTTGGTCGGACTTTACGCGCGCGCGCGCGCGCGAAAAAAGCACACCTTGTTTCATCCCTCCCTTAATTACTACGAGCACTCGGTACGTTTCCGCGTGAAGTGGTCGCCGCCGTCGCCGCGCTCGCTGAGAGAGAGAGAGAGAGAACGTCATGTCTCGAGTGTCTCCGTGGGATTATTTGGACTGGAAATACGAGGCACAAAGAAAAACGCTGCACTATTGTGTATGTATGTTTGTGTGTGTAGGGGGGGGGGGGATTTTCTTGTATACCTGTCTCTTATACGAGCACAAAAGCCTTAATACTGCGATGGAAAAATTCTTCTCCTCCTCGACGATCGACTAGTTCTTATTTGTTGTCAATGAGGTGATTACAGCGCAAGGATTTAAAGCGACACAATGCCACACCGGAGATTTATATTTTTTTTTGGCGAATTATCCGTGTTTTTTTTTTTCTTTCGTTGACAAATCCGGTGAATGCGATACCTATATATAGCGCGCAGCTGGCAGTTGTGTATTTTGAATACTTTTCCACTCCAAATCGTTTTTCCCCTCCACCTGGTCGCCTCTCGTCGTCGGCTCTTTGTGGTTTGCGTTGTGTCGCACCGCATGCGCGCTCGTACGGCCCGGGGAAAAAGTCAACCGTCTGTCAAATGAAAAATTTCCTCGTTCATTCACACCTCCGCTCGTGTTTGTTATGCTTCTACCGCGCGGGCGCATTAGTCCAAATCGCCCGTCAATACACGCGCACACAGGCGCGCATCTCGTAGACAGTCATCGCGTCTATTATTCCTTTTAACGAATTTGTGGTCTTCCTTTCTCGGAAGCAGGTGTTGAAGTGCTCGCATTACAAGATACCGCTCGCCATTGTCGCTTCTTGTAGCCGGATTTACCTTGTGAACGTGAAATTTCTCTCTGTTCGATGCTCGTCAAATTGATACATCGGGGTGGAGCCAAGCTTGCTCCATTTCTCTGCCAAGCTGTTGTAACGCGTCATCAATCCCCATCCTCGGACAGCTTTCGCGCGAACTTTCCCGTTCACAGTTAAAACTTATCTCGTCACGCGCGCGGGGGGTAATGACTGGGGTGAGTTCGAGCGTAAACTCGGCGCAACGCGGAGTCATCATCAAAAGCGAATTATGCAAATGCGCAACCGAAAAGCGTTTTACGATCGAGGCGCGCGAGAATGAGTCTCGCAATACTCGTCGTGCGCTCGTTTTCACTTAATAATCTTGTCTCCTTTGTATCGACAGGCACAAGTTCGCCGCGGAATTCGCCAAAAAAAAACATTAACCTATTAACCTTTTTTCCTGCCTATGGATAATCGCTTCATCCGAAAAGTGCGAGAATTTCGGAAACAATGCTAACGAGCCTCGCTCGCTCTCTCTAATTGCCTCTGATAACGATACACTGCGCACGTACGCGAGCGGCTCGCCGCGCATTCTTCACTATCCTTTTTTTGCGTATATCTTTGAAGAAACGCGAAGGTGGTGGTCTCTCTTTCTCTCTCTCTCTCTCTCTCTCTCTGCTGGTGGCCGATCGCACATTCGATCTCTCGTGCGCGGCAAAAAGACGACGATTCTCTCTCTCGCTCGCCGCATTAATGTGTGTCCCCTCCTACTATTTTTCCACGTGGGGCTCGTGAGTATCGTGCAGTTTCCGCAAGCACGAGACCCACCGCCATGCGGCGCGGCTTTGTTAGGAACAAATTTTTACTCGCCCGCGCAGCTGCTCTCCTCGGGAATTTTTGGCTTTTCCTTTCTCCGCGTATTAAGCCATAAAGCCACGTACGATAAGTGCGCGCTGCCGCTGCAGGAGAGGCTTTTACGAGGAGATTATACGAAGGCTAATATGATCGGATTAAATTGGCTACACACACGTGCGCGCGCGCACAGGTATATGGGTGAGGTAGCGCTCGGGGCGCAGGATGAAGATGTCTAGCGCTGGCAGCTCAAGGTCTGCCACTTTCCCCCACCGCCGCGCTAACTTTAACCATCGCCAGCGGAGACTCGGGCCCTTCCCCCCTGCTCCCTCTCACACATATATACGATTGCCTTGTGCCTTTCTCTTCTTCTCCGTCTTCTTGTTCATCTTCTTGTTGCTGGCGGTGCGCAGCTTGTCGGCTTCGAGAGGAGCTGAAATAATAGGTTGCGCTCCGCGGGCTCAGCTCGCTCATTAACCTTTATACCCTTCGCGCTCTTTTCTCCCCGCAGAAAACCGCAAACGCAAGCTATATCCTCTCGCCGGTGTTTGCGCTCTCTCTCTCTCTCTCTCTCTCTTACTCTCTCGCCGCGCTGCAGCCATCTTTGCGCTCGAGCTTCCTCGTGCCAGATGTCAAGTGGATTGCGGGCTTATTGACGGCGCCGCGGTCCGATTAGAATCTCGGCGAGCGCGCGCGCAGCGATCCATCGGCATCTCGATATTGAAGCTGGCCGGGCTACTTAGCGTACCGATCTCGGGGGCTGATTTCGCAGTCCGCTGCAGCCGCGCGGCTGGCATGGAAAGCGGAGACGCATAATCGGCAGCAAATGACTGTGTAATTTCCCTCGACGATACCGCCCCGCGCAGCCGCCACCCGCGCGCGCGTGCCCGCTCGCCCGTCCCGAGAGAGCAAACATCAGCCGAGAGAGGGAAAAGGATGGACGTGGGGTCCGGCCAGCGCTGGAAATATGATCAGCGGAAAAATATACCCGGAATGATTAAGAGATCAACGTCGACGGACGGACGGACGGACGAACGAGAGAGGGTCGGTCAGTTGCAGGCTGCAGGGAGTAGTAGTAGATTGTGAATGCATCATTGATAAGACACATCATCCAGACACACGCGTACACTCTCCCCCTCTCGGTCGCCAGACGAGATTTTAACCCTTCACACGACGGCGACGGCGGCGGCGACGGCGGCGCCAGCCGAGGGAGAGCTGCTGCTTCACAAAGCGACGGCAGAAAAGGGGGTCTCTCTCTCTCTCTCTCTCTCTCTCTCTCTCTCGCTCGCTCGCTGACTGTCTCTCTCAAAAAAGTACTTGGTCATGGCGCGAAAGCAGCCCCCCTGTAGTGTCTTTTCCACGAAGTCATTGTCTTACCGAAGCTCCGACACACGTCATCGTGCGCATGGCCTTTTTCACCTTAACATGCCTGGCAATTCGATCAGTTCGCCGGCTCGGCAACGCACAAAAGGAAACAAGGCGTGCGCGAGCCTTATCTCTTTATTAGCCTGCTCGCGCGGGCCAAAAATTACGCTTCCGATCAAGACGTCGAGGGCAAAGCGAGAGATGATGATCGAGCGGGAAAAAAGGAATGCGCGCTTGACAGCGTGTAATCTCGGCGCGCGCGGGAGAGCCTTTACGAAATAACAGGTTTCTCTTACGCTCTCTCGCGCCCGAGACAGAGCTAACAATTTCATCGGGCAATGCCTCTGCGCCGAGGAAGGAGCCAGCGAAAGCTCGCGCGATCGCGGGGGCTAGGGCCAGAGGACAGCGGCGCCGAGTCGACAGCGCTTCGCAAGCACTAAAGCGTATCGCGAGCCGAGCCGTAAATCATCGGATCGGGAGTCAATTAAAGCGTCAACTCGCGCTCGGCAAATCAAACAAACTCCGCGCCGCGGAGAGTGCTGAAATTTATACCCCTTCAGCGATAAGCGAGCGCGAGCGAGGAGATCGCAGTTAATGCATCCGAGGCGGATGGAGAGAGCGAGCGAGAGGGGACGCGATACCACGCTCCACGGCGAGGATTGAGTCGTTATCCGTGAGATTGAGTCGTCGTCGCCGCGGTGAAATTTTCCCGCGCTTCGAGCTTTTCGCCAATTACGTATACATCGACACCTTTGGCGCACGTACGCCCGCGGACGGACAATGCCGCCATTGTGCTGACACATTTGTTTTTCGGAAAGAGAGCGACTGAAGAATTTACGAGCGCTCGGCCGCTTTTTCAGGCCGTGCCGCTGTCAATTATCCGTTATATACTGCCCAAGCTCGGCACACTGTGCCTTTAACGAGAGCGAGCGAGAGCGAGAGAGAGAGAGAGAGAGAGAGGAAGAGATAGGTAGATAGCCTTGTGCGCATCTCATTTTCGAACGACGACGACTGTCATCGCGCGCCGCGCCGATGCCGCTATTGTACCTGCGAGCCAAGGCTACGACATTAATTAGCCGACTATCGTGGAACGCGCGTGCCGCGGCTAATTACCCCGAGTGTGCCAGATATATACGCATACATTTAGGCGAGTCTGGCTGCGACTTCCTTGGGCCTTCGGCCTTCTCTTCTTTTCACGCTCGATCCAATTCTTTTGTCTCAGTAGCCATTGTTCAACGCGACATGTTTTTTTTTTGCCCTCTACGAAGGATGCTCGCGCCGAGGCTTTCGAGAAGGATTTTGCAGAAAAGTACGCTTGGTGCGCTCGCGGACTGGTTTTCCTTCGGGCAGTACAATCCTCGTGTATATGTACACCTTGATGAGATGATTGCAGTCTCTGAAAGTGCGTAACGACGAGAAAGAGTGAAAAGTTCGCCTTTCGAGAAACTTATTACTGCTTCTGAAAATAATTTCGTTGCATCTCGAGGGGCAGAGAGGGAGGAGGGCGATTTTCGCACGTAAATCAAGACGCGCGCTGGATTGAGTAAACACGCAGTTTATTACATTTATTCGATTTGAAATGTTTGCGCAACTAAAAAAGCCGGGATGGAAAATGGCTCGTTCGAGAGGTTTTGCAGGCGGCACATAGCGGAGAAAAATGTTTGCAGAACTCGTTATTCCTCGAGAGTGGCTCAAAGAATCGCGCTCGCCCGCGCAATCTTCTCTCTCTCTCTCTCTCTTTCTCTCTATGTTTGAAAGACGAATGAGAGAGACGAGTTGCACGTTTGCCTCTGTCTCGGTCGAAACAAACTTGGCCTGGCGCTAATTGGACGCCGAAGTTGGAGCGCGTGAATTTCGCCCATCGCTAAATCCTGATTTATAATTGCAGACAAGTGTTGCCGGTACGACGAGCAGCACAAGCACGAAGAAGACGACAGCGAGCAGCAGCAGCAGCAGGAAAGAAGGTGAAGTGGCGAGAAGAAGTAGCGAGATGGTTGACTCGGACAGTTGGTTCGACGGTGTGCCCGAGGAAGAGTTACTCTACTACTCGCCGTCCGACAGAAGCGACTTGGATTCGTTGTTTGCCGTTGTTGGCAGCTTCGTGCCACCGCCGCCGCGGCCGCCCTTCATGGCCGAAGAGAGCTTGCCCACCGACGGACTGACCACCTGTGATCTCTGCTCTTGGGCGCTTAGGAACGATAGGTACTCCTTCTCTTTGGACGGTACGTTAGGTGAGAGAGCCTTTTCCTACTGTTTCCAGCGACGGCAAACTTTCAAATGGCGTAGCCCGAGATGAATGTGTTATTGAGTTTGAGAACGTCGACTCGAGATGGGAATTACATACGGAAGCGCTTGCCTCGCTTCCCTCATTGATTTTTCGATATATAAGAAGACAATCGCATTTTCCCGCAATTCCAGCCCGAGTTACCTCTCGCCAGCGTAAAAAGCTTATTCCGACTTCATAAAAGTTTTAGAATTCTCTCTCTCTCTCTCTCTCTCTCTCTCTCTCTCTCTCTCTCTCTCTCTCTCTCTCTCTCTCTCTCTCTCTCTCTCTCTCTCTCCCTCTCTCTCTCTCTCTCTCTCTCTCTCTCTGCGCCTTCCGAATGATATTAATGTGCGAGGAAAAATGCGATTTATTATTAAATTCAATTTATGATGAGGGCCGCTTTGAAAATTTATGATATTGGGAAAAAGAAGCTCTCCCCAATCATCCAAACGAACGAAATAAATAAATAAACAAAGGTGAATTCCACTTGAATAAAATGGCTATTGGTACGGGTGGAGATTATTAAATAAAAAAAATGAACGCGCTTACATGATTTATACGCTCGACGAGCTTTCGCCAACGCACGCCGCAAAAAGCTTAATTAAACATGAATTTTCGCTCAGTGCCGGCGCAGTTGTCAAACATTATTTTTAAAATGTGCCGCGCCGCGTTGGAACTAAAAGAACTCCCGCGGATGCGGCCCGTGGGGGGAGGGGTCTCATTTTGTACCGCGGCAAGGGGCGGAGAGAGAATGGCGTTTGTTTGATCGTAGTTTTGAAATTGAGATATTGGATTTCAAGCTCGTTAAAGCTCTGTGGCATACTACTCTCTCTCTACAGCGCACTTTCTCGTTTTACTACGTCCTGAATTCACGCGTAAGTGCCGTCGAGTCGTAATTAAAAGAGCAGCTTGAACGTAGGGCGGCGTGAAAAACTGCAATTAAAGCCTTGCTTCTCTCTCTCTCTCTCTCTCTCTCGAACTACAATCTCGCTCTTCTTTTTTACGTCTTCTCGCCAAGGCCGCGTGAAAAAAGGAGATCCTTCGGGTATGATAATCGTCTGCTCTTTTTTTCCTCTCCTCGCGCGGGGTTCTGCCGTGTGTGGCAAAAGCTAATTCAAACGCATACGAGAGAAGAAGGCGCGGCGCGGCGGCGCTGATAATCGCAGCGACGATCGCAACGTAGATTTATACCCTCGGCGCGAGAAAGGAGAGAGAGAGCGAGAGAGGATATATGTGCAGCCATTGAATCGCGCACACCTTGCGCTGCTACCGCGTCGACAGCTTGTCACTTTTCGATCGCATCGCGCAGCTACAATGTGTACATGTATACGCGTCTCCTCGTCTCCGAAGGTAAGGAATTTTCCTGGGAAACCACGCGGCATTTCTCTCGTGCGAATAATATATATCGATACGCGCAAAGGATAAAGGGAGAGAGAAGCAAATGGATGGTTACGCGTACTACTTTGCAAAGGTAAAAGCACTTCGGTAAAATCGTTTCGAGTCCTGTATATGTGCTTCGATTCGGAGCATTACGCGCTGAGAGAAAATGTTCTTTTATAGCCCCGTGCACTGTAGTGTATATACCGAGAGAGACAGAGAACAAGAGTGTCATATAGACTACATCGAAAAAAAAAATATATATATATATACGATGGAAGCTTATAAGTATATTGTTATATATATAATACAAAATGACGAAAACAAGAACTCGATATCGCGCGTTGGATTAACACAAAAAGAGACTAGAGCGCACTTATAAGCTTTCATCGAATGAAAGAGTTGAAGAGCACGATAAGCGAGATTGGAAAAATGCGCTCTCTCTCTCGTCGATGCTTATCGACAAGAAGACTGGTCGTCGGAAGGAAATGGTTAGTTGGCGCTCGTTTTAATTGGGAGAAGAAAGAGAAAAAGAAACCAAGTACTCGTCGTCGCAACGGCTCGGCTCTCTCGCGCGTGTATACAATCACGCACACGCATAGTCGTATATTGACAGATCGCTTAATCGCGTCAATCTCTTTTTCCTTTGTATAAAGCGCGCTCGAGGTTTTCTTATATATATCTATACAGCGGGCGGTCCTCGCCCCATACCGCGAGAGAGAACGCTTTTTCTTCTCTCTGGAGATGGCAGTTAATAAATCGGGGATCCCCGCTATGCGTTTTGTATAATGAAGACGCAAGCCAGACTCGCGAGTGTAGCATTGTGCGAAATTCCGATTTATGAGGAGAGTGTCGAGCACCTGTTACCCCCGAGCGCGAGGGCGAGGAGGAGAGACAGAGAGGGAGAGAGAGAGAGAGAGAAAAAAATGATATATCCGAGATATTTCAAGGGATTATCAGATGCGCGCGCGTGTCCGCGTGTGCGCAACGTAAATTAAGCTCGCGTGCGGCAGCAAGGCCCATACATTATCTAATCATTTCGAAATATCGAATTACGTACGCCTCTTCTCGCGCGATCATTAATCGTTCCAATCATTAGCCATCCATCGAAAAATCGATCGGGAGATGAAGCAAAAGAAAGGCGCCATAATGGATATTCGATTGTCTAACGGTCCTTGTTTCATGCGTGCGCGTGTGCGTGTGCGTGTCTCTGTCTCTCTTTCTCTGCGATCTAATTAAAGCTATCTGGCAGAAGGCTGTATTTTTTGACCGATGAGCTTCGAGCGTGAAATGAGAGTTACTATACCGGCGCGATCGATGAACTCCTCGAAAAATTCCATTTCCCCTTCGCCGATAGCACACAATAAACCGCTAGTACACAGCGGCGCGCTGCGCAGGAAATCCTGCAAATTGTTTTTTCCCTCTTCGGATGCATCGGCACAGAATCTTTCTCTCTCTCTCTCTCTCTCCCTCGGCGGGTGAAATACAACCGCGAGATGTCGAAAGGGAGATAGCGACGCGTGAATTAACGGTGCACCACAAAAGGTACTGAGCGCGCACGGAGAATACTCGTATTATCAATCATCAGCTGGCGCGTGAGAGCGCGACAAAATTTCTGTCCAATCTTCTCGCGAGCGCGGCGAGGAATTTCCGATTCTTCGGCGACGCTTTTCACGTTTAATGCCACTTGCGTATGCGGCCGGCGTGAACGTCGCGCGCGGAGTCTTTTAATAATTCGTCGCGCTAACGAGATTACGCGCACTCTTCGAGTGGCTTGCCGAGAGAGAGGAAAGAAATATCACGCCGTCTCTCTCTCGGAATATATAAGAGCGATAAGAGTCGACTTTTACGGTTTGTTTCTCTAAGATTTCGCCGCGCAGGCTCGTTATTTATATACGCGCGGAGTTCTTTCTTCAATCCGAATCCTCCCGACGTCGGCTGCTGCGCGCCTTTGATGATACTCGGAAATCGTCGATGCTCTCGCACAGACACACGCACACGCGAGCGCGCATAAGTGCGAATAATTATAGTTTGCACGCGCCCGTGCGACGTGTTTTACGAGGTAGACTTTATACACGGGTTTTAATTGCAGTTTCGGGGCGGCAGGCGGCGCTCACCTTGATGTTATTTTCGAGACGACGGACGCGAAAGTTTTTACCGCCGCCGCGCGCTAGATGTGCTTGAATTATTCAGCGTATTGGAATGTGGAAAAATTTGAAAGTTAAAATTGGCCCTCATGTTTTTTCTCCTCTTCGTCTTCTTCCGCGGGGGGGGGGGGGGGGGGGGTTAGGGGGGAGAGCACGCGATTTTTGTTACGCGCGAACGGGAAAAATTGACGTCGGTAGGCGTTTAATCCGCGCGTTACAATCGAAAAGCGATAAGCGGCGCTTTAGGTAAGCGATAAACTTTCTGATATTTATGTACCTCGAAAGTTTGGCCGAGCTTCTAGGATATCCGTCCAACGAGATATCCGGAGCGTCGTATGCGATCGATACGCGCGGAAACTATACATCCAATTCACTTCCGCGGGTGGCAGTCAGACAGCATCCCTAAATTAACAAGCACAATTCACTTTGGCTAAAAGCATACCAAAGTCGTCGTCCTCCGCTCTCCCCTCGCGCGCACAGCAGAGATACAGCATTATCATTATCGAGCAGATTTTGCTTGCTCTCTGCTCGCTCCATTGTCTTGAACTTAACGTCTAATGGTCTCGGCCGAAATAAAAGCGTTTGATTTTTTTTTGTTTTGTTACAGAGGCACCAGGCGAGCTTGGCTGGGTGTTGACCTTAGTCATCGTCTCGCTCATCTCTGCGGGGATCGGAGCCGTTATCATGGTCACGCTGCTGCATTGCAGGAGAATGAAGAGCGCCGGCGGCAGAGGTGAGCTTTCCTCCGTGGCAGTTTACCTTCTATCCGTCCCTCTTGAGTGCATCGAAATATCAAGTGTGCGTGGCGATCGGAGACTAAGGTTCTTGCGTTTGTTGACCGAAGAGCTCGTCGGTGTCGCGTATCATCCGCAGTGAAACTTGGCGCAAAGAGCGCGCGCTCGCTCCCTTTGACTGCCGCGCTAATGCACCGCGCGAATAATTAAGTCGCGACGAGCACTTGAAAAAGAACAAAAAAATAGTCGTCGATGGAAAAAGGAATAAACTAAACTCTATACTCAAAACTTATAAATCAACGCGTCTGTCTCGTACAATGAAAACCCGTCTCGACCGAAAGAGAAAGAGAAAGAGAGAGAGACGGAGAGAGAAAAAAAAAGTCTCGAAATATTAATCGACGTATCAGATTACCGACGACGGCATTGTGCTTTCGCTTCCGAGTATATAAATCGATGACGAGCTGTCATCGCGCAATAAAAAGGTATATATAATCCCTGGGAGCGAGGTCTGTGGAAAAAAAAAATCTACATATAATATCGCGCCGAAATTCCGCCTTTTTTTTCCTCTCTCTCAAACGCCACTCCCCGCGCGAGTGTGACAGCCGCACAATAAAGCCGTATACGCGTTTATGACGGCTGGCGTACAGTCGTAGCGAAAAGTATATACGTGCGCGATCCTTTTTTAATTGCCGACGGCTTGTAAAACGGATGTCATCTATCGAAAAGATTCACTCGAGTATTGTAAATGTTAGGGGTGAGATTCTTCTCTTCGCCTATTATATTCAACTCTACTCGCTCGTGCTCCAGTTCTAATCAATTTTCGTATACGTGAGAGATTCATAAAAGAGGCTTTTGTGATGCACTCGACATATTCTTCCTCTCTTTCTCTCTCTCGAATCAAATTACCCGCGCGCGCACACGATGATTGATGGCAATATCTCTCTCTCTCTCTCTGGTCTTTGTTGTCAAGTGGCTTTTAATTAAAATCTCGTTTTTCCAAACGAGCATCATTTCGAGACGCAAAAAAAACGTAAAGTTCGAGCCAAAGTAAAAAGGTAAACACACGTTATATTTATTTCGCGCGCTCTCTCTCTCTCTCTCACTCGCTCTCGCTCTCTCCTTCACCGCAGACTCATTACGAGCGAACTTGAAAAGCACTTGAACGCCGTGTGAATTAAGCTCTCGGTCGAGTTAGCAAAGAAATTAAAAGAAAAAAAAAGAAATTTTTTTACCTCGGCTTCGCCGTCATCAAACTTGCGCTGCAGACACCTGAGTTGCACGTGCATATACACGCACACTCAAAGGGAGAGAGAGAGAGAGAGAGCTTTTGCCTTTGTCTCGCGTCTAATTGGAGTCTCTCTTGCTAACGAGTCTCTCGTACATACACATTTCGCGTTCGCACACAGCGAGTTGCTGCGGCATGGCATTAGAGCGTGGCCAGCATCGAAGTGGCGGCAACGGAGCCGGTAGGCAACACGTCCACCATCATCATCACCATCATCATCCAATGGGTAGTCCGAGCTCAGGCAGCGCTGCTTTAGCTGTCATACCCGAACGCCCGGCACTTGAACTTGACAAGCTACCACCTTATCACGACGTCACTCCTAGTCCTGGTTAGTATTACATACACCACCCTTCCGCCTCGTACTTTTTGCCGCGTGCATGTACCCGAGTATAAGTGGCGTCTGCTAGTGATTGATCGGCGGTGGCGGCAAGCGCTGCGTTTGAACGGCTTAATTTTCGACGCGAGAAACTTGATTAAACTCGAATTGCTTGTGGCGTTAGTAGCGAGAGAGAAAGAGGCTTTGTTATAAACGCTTAACCACGCTCCGTGGTTATTAGCTGAATTTTCCACAACGCAAACGCCAAAGTTAATTCAATGTTCTTCTTTTGTTGCTAAAGTACTTTAATATCATCCACCACGGAGTTTTGCATATTTTCGTAATTTAAGCTCTCCCCCACCCCTCTCCGCCGTGGTAAATGTTGTTTGGCTGAACTTTTGCGCGCACAGGAAATACGTCATTATCATATCTTCCTATATACGGAAAGCTATAAAAAAGAGAGAGAGAAGCAAGTTGGCAGGTGGAGGAAGGTCTTGTTTCTCTCTTTTTTCTCAATGCCTGCATATAAGCCGTATAAATTTTCGAATCGAAGAGGACGAGAAGTTTTTGAAACGCGATACGATTTGATTACAAATTCACTGACTGCTTATTCAGGATTCAGCGCGCGCAGTGTCATAAAGTACCCGCCTACATTCGTCAAACATTCATAAGCAATTCGCCCGAAGGCAATGAAATTTTCATACGAGGCGCGCGCCATATTTATATATGTAGACGCACAATCGGGCGTGCTGTGTGCTTGTGTTGTTTCTTTTCGTCTCATTCGCGCGCCTACGATAGATGCGTACTTTACAAGTGCTTAAAAACCCATCGGAAGGTAATTTTTCTCTCTCCCCCCTCTCTCGTGGATACTACTCCATTGTCGTCTCGGTGTGCGGTGGAAACGCAGAACGAGTATGTGTGTGTGTGTGTGTGTGTATACGCGCATACGCGCATACGCGCATACGCGCATGGCTCTACGAAAAGATTATGTAAAGTTCCAGCGAGGAATGGATTACGTTACTTTTTGTTCGCGGTTACTTAATGACCTGCCCGACATAAACTACACGTTACAAGTGAGAAGCCTCTGTATTTTTTTAATGAACTTTTAATCTCGAGTTACCTTCATTAAATTCCCTTAAGCCTCTTTAGTTTTCTCTCTGCGCGTCGCGCGAAATGTCTCTATTAACTCGCAAAGCGACGCACGATCGCAAGGAAAAAGTCTGATTTTTGTACGGCAACGAATGCGAAATTTTCTCATGACACCGTCTCATTACTCATCGTAGGTCACAACGTGAACGTGTGGTCATGGCTAGGTTCACGTCGTGGCGGTGGGCCTCCTGGCTGCGTCGCGACCCCATTGACTCTGCCTCAGCACCGACATCCCATTAACTTACCTGTCGAGAATCATTATACCCACATGCAAACTGACGAAGCTTTGTACGCCGAGTTGGACTCGCAGGCTGCTAGTTACGCCAGTGGCTCCGAAGACAAACATTATCACGAGCTTGATGCCGTTGGATTGCATAGGCAGCATCAAGATACACTTTGTAGTCGACACAGTCAGAGGTAAGTGTTGACTTTTCTTTCGAAGCTCCGGGAAAGAGATTGTAAATACCTGATTATTACTTTTCTTTGTTAAAATGCAAAATCGACCTTCTGTCGTTGTTTGAATGCTTTTGTAGGACGACGCGTTAGAGCTAATGTTTACTTTTAAAATTCAATTGTTGATAGTAATGAGGGAGAAATAAATCGAGAAAACGCTTCATTTCAGTTGTCGATACCAAATACTCCCCATGATGATGATTGGCACTGACGAACTTTAGAATGGATCATTTCCGATCTCTCTGCGATTAAATGATGTACGTTGAGTTTTGTTTTGTTTTGACAAATTCACTTATACGTTCCCTTTCTTTTATTTTTTACAACATTTCACACATACATTCTTTAACATCCATTTCAACACAAATTTATCGTGCAATAGATACAAGTTCGCGAGTGATAATCGGCATTGTGAGGAGCATTTTAATAAGGACTGGAGTTAAGAAGGAACACGCCATTAGACCTGATTATCTTTAATTTATTTCATTCTTAATTACAACTTTATACAAATTAATACTACAATTATTGTTACAATCTAAGATTGCGTTAAATCTAAAGGCAAATTGCAGGAAGCCCCTTTTACATTTTGCTTATGCTTTTCTTCTTTGTGTAATATCTTTTATGCGCTTTTAATCATCATTAATTCTCATTAAAACTTAACCATAAAACGTAATAATAATATTAATAATATGCAACTAAAAACAACATCATTTAAAACGTTGGAAATTTCATTTGTTTTTATTCTCCGTGAATTACAAGAGAGCCTTCTTCAACGATTCACACGGATTTATCATGTATAGTTATTACTTTAAAAATACTCAGCTACCACTATATGTATCTAGATTTTTCTTTTCACAAATCTATTTATCAATAAAAAATCTTTTTACAAATGTATCGCAGTCGGTCGGTCGATTAATAATCAATAATTTATGCTTATAAACTAGTTACGTATATGTATATATATATTTCGTGAAATCTAGATGCATCCAACAACTACTAATAATAAAAAAATAATAAAAAAACAAACAATTAACAACCTTGTCACACGAGTATAATAACAAACAAGAAATCAATGTGATGGTAACAAGAGTATGAAGACGTTTTCGAAGCGCTCTAAGTATTTGTTTTCTTCAATTTGCGTAGGTTGCGAGAGCCAGAGTACGAGATGTACGAGAATGGACCCACGTTGCCTCATCATCACAAGCACCATCATCATCACCACCATCATCATCAGCAGCAGCAACAGCAACAACAACAACAGCAACAGCAACAAGCACAACCGTCGTATCAGAACACTGGTTACACTGGAAGTGACAACGAGCCCGACGGTCCCTCAACTCTAAGTAGTGCACCGAGTAGTGCTTATTACAGTGACTTGAGCTCGAACTCGAATCAACAAATGATGATGATGAACGTGCCAACGACTTTATCGGGGCCTGAGGGTGACGCGCCACCCGTATACGAGTCTGCCTCGCAATATAGACTTCAAGCGATCAACGAAAGCTGCCCATCGGACTACATCTAGTTGTCGATTCGCGCGGACCTTAGTGCGGTTCGCGATTGTGATACCAGTGAAATGGCTACAGAGGAGCTTTAAAGTGCTCTGCGCGCGCAAATGTGTTGTATAAAGAAGAAAACGAACACGAAAAGAACGTTATTTATTCTAGCTTGTAAGTGAGGGGAGAGAGGGAAGGATACGCCTTCTCTTCTACGGTACGCCGGAAAGTTAGCTTTTAAAGTCTATTCACGAAAAACGTTTCGTAGTTTCACCTTCGTACACTCACTCACTCTCACTTCCTAGCGCTATAAGGTCTCTCTTTTTGTAAATAGAAACTAGGTGATGTACTTTAAAACTCTTCGCTCGACTGTAAAATATTTTGTAGATGCGTATAATTTTTGTACGCGAGATAGAGCCGCGAGACTGCGATGCGCTCAACTATTTAACCGTATCAACTTTGCGTAATATTAATTCGATATAATCACTTGTAAAAAATTTGTACAATTATTATCTTCCTTTCCTTAGTCGGTGATGCGTACTGTTCAGCGATCGCAGTCTCCATCGCTCTTCTCTCTTCGAAAGTGCGTTTTTTTGTAATCAACAACGACATTTATACGAAAGAAAGAAGAAGAAAAACGAATTTGTAAATACTGCATTTAAAATAAAAACAAAAAAAAAACTTCTTCAAAACATACACACTGAATTGGTCTCGAGTGATTTGCAACAAACAATAAAAACGAAAAAAAGATAAAGAAAACAAGCACACGGGAGAATGGTACATATAATGACTTGATTGGATTTTAAGCGGCCAATCGGCAGCGAAATTCAAATTGGCCGTCGGCCGCGAGGATGAAGTTATTCTCTGAGGGCGTGTGGGGAGAGAGCAAGAGAGAGAGAGAGAGAGAGAGAGAGAGGAGAGAGAGAGAGAAGAGAAGAGAGAGAGGAGAGAGAGAGAACAGGTGGCTTCGTAATTCGACGTTACGCCTCCCCGGTACAGAACTTCCGCTCTGTCTCACTCGCTTTCTGGCACGCACACGAAAATTATCGTTGACTCTCGCCCAGTTAACCACCAGCAGCAACAGTAGCAGCAGCAGCAGTCCAGCGACAATTATCAAACGTTTCCACCTACGACAGGTGACTTTCCACCACCGCTAGATTTATTCCTCTGCGCGTTGTGATAAAGATACGAGTGTACTCGCAAGCTATTGCTGTTCTTGTACTTATTACCGCAAAGCTTGCACGTCAAACTTTCCAATGGTCCATGGATGTATTTAACATGTAGCTTGAGATTTTCCCTCCGCGTAAAGTGTCGTAAGCACCAGGGACACGTGTACATATGTATAACTTTGCCACGTTCCATTCGCGTTATTGGAACAAGTTCAGAGATAAAGCGCAGTGTTGTTTCTAGAGATAAGCTGCTACCTGGTAGACCTTTGATCGTACGGCGACCTTTATTGCCGGCGGGAGCAGTACTGCTCGACGATGATGACGGGTCTTGGGAAGAGTAATCATTTGCGGTACATGTCCCTTCTACCGTAGCCTCGTGGAAACCTGCGTGCACGCGATTTATTCTCTCATTACTTTATAAACAATTTTGTCATTATACGAGGAGTCTGATTACACATTCTCAGTTCGTTCGTGTTTCAGGTGTGTAAAGAAAGAAAGTAGCTATTGTTATCATATTCTTTCAATCATACACGAGAGACATAAAGCGTATTTCCGTTAATGCACGATAATTCTAGAAAATAATATTCGTCACCTAGCGAATGGCTTAGCTAATCTTGTTTGCATCGATGATATAAACAAGGTTACTGCTTAATTAACATTACGCTGTGTGGCTAAATTGCACGGTATGTATTCGCGCACATGCAGAAATTTTATTCGAAGTCAAGTTGTTTTCATTGATATATAAATTTTGTTAAAATTTCTGTAAAGTATAAGGTGATGACAAATCAGCATTGATTACTACCGACAGACGTAATTCCGTCGTAAAATAAAAACTAATCAAACAATGACTAATTCCAATGAAAACCTGATTCATTAATTATTATTCAAACACAGCTTACCGACTGGTTCGCTCTGACATTGAGGTGCAGCATAGGGCATCAGCTGAGGGTTAAGCATGGTGTCCATATTCTCTTGTTCCGGTTGCGGGATCGTCGTGATCGGCGGTGGTGCAGTCGTCCTCTGTATACATTCCACTTCAGGCGTCAAATGCCGAATTTCTGGATTAATTAAACCCAAATCTGGCTTGTACTCTGGAAATTCGATGGTTGACTTTGACGTATCTTCGCAAACACTTGCTGAACAATCGAGTGGTTGATCATCGTCAACGTCCGGAGGTCGATGATGGTCAGTTGGATTGACATTAGAATCAGTCATTAAAGGCTCATTTGGTTCACGATACGACTTTTCTTCCTTTGGCGTATTTGGCGTGCACCGGCACGGCGACGAGGCATTCCATGACACTTGCATGTCGCAGAATGGCTCTGCATTGTACGCTGTGGGTGATCGTGAGGTCACATTGTTGTTTGTACGTTCCGGATGGATTAGAGGTAGTGCATCAACTAGATCCTTTTCCGTGTCGTCTTGAAGCTGAAATTACGAGTTGCGAGTTCAAAAATTGAATTTGGCGCGCATACTTGCACGCGGTTAATAAGTATTCTATTTTACCGACCTTGATAAAATTCGGTATTTACGATTCATTTTCTTTGCGATTTTTCAATTTGTTATTCATCGATCTATTTTCAACACGCGAAATCTCACTAGAATAGTCGTCGGAACTTTAAATGCCGATGTGATTCCGAATGATCGTCTTTTAATAGCACGAATGATGAAACAATAATTTAAATGGTGATATGACACAACGCTAATCTGTAAAACAATATAAACGACAAATATCGCGCTGGTATGAGTGTACTTAAATTCTGAAATATCACGATCCAACGTAAAAGGTCATTAAAACTGAGCCGAGCAAAATTTAAGTTGATATAACAAAAAAAAATAATAATAATGCATCAATTTCCTCATTCGGCTGCGATTGCAGTCTCTCTGAATGAATGTATGGGGCACACGTACTGCGATTCAGGCGAATTATCAAAAAACGATTTTGTAACGAGCGTCGATTATCGCGCTGCGCGGTTTGTGCAAGAATCAAAGTTCACCGTAACACCGTGTAGACTCACAAAGTATCAATTTTTTGCTCTCCTCATTATTTCGTCGTGAGCATTACTCTCTGCTGGCCGCCTCGCGGTGGCACGCGCAACGAGTGCTGAGAGCAGAAGAAAACTGAATTTCAAAAGATGCGCGACTTCGTTAAAGACAGCCAGCCATAGGGTTTGCGTACGGGTTTCGGTTCCCGAAAGTTGTTAAGTGCACTTCTTGCCGCGGCACTACGGCGCCGTAGTTCATTTTTAGAATCGAGACAGGCTGTTTTGCATACACTTTGAAATTCACGAGAACGCACGAAGAGTATTTAGGAGTGATTCCGATATGCTAAAAACCAAGAGTCATTGATACGTTGTTTGAACGATTGACGCAGGCACACGGGCATTCCTTTTTCTCTAACATCTGCGTGCATCTGCAGCAACTGTATATATACTTGGGCGCGCGGATTAGGGAAAACTCGCGCGCACTGGTTGTTTACCATCAGCTCGCGCGCTTTTTGCGCAATCATTCCGGTTAAAGTACGCGAAGCTCTCGAATTGACGTAAGCTCGCGAAATCTCCAAATTTCCGCGTGTGTGCGCGCAAGCGATCGTCAACAAAGAATAAGAAGAAGAATACAACGAAGCGAAGAGTCTATGAAAAATAGCGCAACGGCAGCGGCGGCGGAGAGGCATCGTGAATCATAACGCACTTGCTTGTTATCAGATGATCGTGAATAAATTAGAAAGAGAGGCGACGCTGTCGACAAACAAACGCAAACATGACTCAATCCTCTCTGTGCTGCTCGTTATTGCTTATACGCGCTGAGCGCGAGAAGAAGCGAACAAAAAAAAAGAAAAACCGTAACAAGAAGCACTTCTGCGCCTCGTTCTGCGTCCTCGTCGTCGCGTGCGTGCGCGAGAGACACGTCGCATATATGTATTATAATACGCGCACGGACGGCGTACGCAAGATCTTGCGTGGGTTTTCGGCGCATTATGCATACGCGCATCGCCAGAGGAACAAAAATGGTGCGCTGCTTTTATCTTTGCAACTCACATCATCGTCGTGGTTCCTGGTGAGTCCTTTGATCTTGAGTATCTCGGCGACTTTGAGAAAGCTGGCGATATCTTCTTGTTTGATGCTCACCTCACCTTGATACATAAACTGCAGCATCGCCGAGAGATCACGATAGTTGACATCCTTGAGTATGACTATTGGATGTTTACACGTGGTCCCCTGTAGTGCGCAACAGCAGCCATGTAACACACATACTTTTTGTATCATAACACGTCGTGTGTGTCGCGTCGCGTCGTCGTTTATTCGCGGTAAACAAGCTAACTGTGCACGTGCGGCGCAGAAGCGAGAGAGAGAGAGAGAGAGCGAGAGAGTGAGAGAGAGAAAGAGAACGTACCTTGAACAGCTCGCGAAAGTATGAGCTGCAAACAGAAAGGATGAGCTTGTGGGCCCTAAGAATTTGACCCTCAGCAGCCAGAGTTACATCGACTAATTGTTCACCTGTGAGCAGGTCATACAAGCCCGCGGATAGATTCCGCGGGAAGGTGTTCCACACCAGAGAAAAGTGCTGGCCGTCCGACGACATCTCGCTACGTTTGTTTGGCACTCTCGACTAAAACTCCATACGCAATAACAAGCGCGCGCGCCAGTACTACTCTTGCTATGCCTTCCCCCACTCCGTAAGTTTTTTTATTTCTCAGAGGAGAGAGAGAGAGAGCGCTATACTCGCCATAGCAGAGAGGAGGCTCTCTGTGTGTAAACATCCAAGTACGTAATACACGTTCCGCTGTGCCGAGCACCTTGCCATGAGCGTACGAGAAGCAACGAGGTGCCCCTTCCACTTTACACACCAATATCGTACGTTCATTCAGCTCCCGCCGCTGCGACCAATGCACACTTAGCCTCCATCCTATATACTTGTTTTTACGACTTATATCTACGCTGGTGCTATATGCTGTACAATGTAGGCGACCAAGAGCTTTTTTCTCCTTCCGAGCTTTTATCGGCGTAAACAGCTACTGAAGATCTCTCATGTCCAACTTAGTTCGAAAGTGAAACTTTTGAGAGAGAAAGAGAGCGCGAGCAAATTCGTTTATCGCTGAATCGTAGGAATTATAATTACATGCAATGCGTGCAAGTTGTTGATTACAAAGTTTCCGTTTTCATTTTTTATTCAGATACGCTGGTGATCGACAGGTGATAATCCTTCAGCTGAATAAATTCCACTAACAAAAGGAAGTATCCGTGACGTACGAGCATTTCACTAAAAAAAAAAAGCCGCATCTATGACGTATAGGAAAAAAAAGAATAATTTTTGTCGGCTGTAAAAAATAATTCCTTATAAGACGCATTCTTCGCTTATCTCACAAGCGTACGCGCTGTCTGTCTCTCTCTCTCTCTCTTTCACTCACTCACTCGCGCTAATTAACAAACTATTTATAACCGCTCGTGCTTTATTTTCGTACATTCCACGCACGGGTGAAATAACATGATACCCGCACACGTACATGGCGAGCAAGATTTCCGCATCTGTATAAAGTATACATGTGCAAAACCCTTTTGGTATACCGTTACGGGAGCTGCGCTCTCCTTATAAACGTTATGCGCGCCTGGGAAAAGTTAATTATTGCGTATATGCATGTATATATGCTTCAGCTTTTAATACGATGAATGAGTTCCTTTTTATCTGCATAGCTTCGTGGCAAACAAACACTGTTTGCCGTCCACGAGAGCGGTGATGACGGTGATCGAAATATTATTTTTTTTTTCCTCCAAGCCGCGAAGCGTTTCCATGACTGCGTATTATGGTCATATAAGATTGTCATTAACATATAGTCGACGTTTTAAATGCTGCCGCGTAGATTAATTTGGGAAATTAGGTCATACGGTACGTTATGTAAATGACAGAGATGAAACGTATATTAAGATTGGAACACACGCTTGTTTTTATGGAAGTTCAGGCAGTCTTTAATTGCACAATTCGTTGCACTTTATGTATATAAAAATCGAGTATACGAGTGTAAAAAAATTGTTCTTGACTAACCATTATCTCACAATCACATTAATGGTTTTTGTAAGTAACTCGCGCCATTTTCCGCTCCATTTTCTTTTGCTTCTTTTCGTCCTTTTCTGTCATCTGTGGAGCTTCTTGGAAGAACCATGGCGATAGAATGTTTTTCCATAACATCCATAATGCCCTTAATGGAGCCTGAATAAAAAAAATAATGTTAAAATTTACTGGCAAAAAATAAGGATGACATAAGAATACAGTAAATATGTTTACCAGTAGCCATAACAGCCAAAAATAATTTGACATAAGTGATAACACTTGAACTCCGGAAGTCAGAATGATTATGTCTTTAACATGCCTGAAATTTTATTTAAACTATTTTAATCTGCGCTTAACACTAAAGCCCCTTTGAGATAAGTGTTAAATTCTTTTTCTTACTCTCCAATACCTCCTTGCATATTCAAGTCAACTCCTGAGCTTACCAGTTGACCAGTTTCTGTATATGTTGCTCGAGCCATATATGACATGAATTGATAAGCTCCAATGTAAACTATACCAGCAAATATAGAAAATATCTAAAAATACTTAATAGTTAAGATATATTGAACTAATTTTTGAAAACTTTAATTTGTTTTTAGTATTCACCGTAGTCAAAGTTGTAAATTCAAAAAAGATGCTCATAACTATAATGTAAATTCCAAAAGCTCCAAAAATCATATTTCTATATAAACTTAACGTTGATATGTTCTCTTCAACAATTTGTTTTTCGCCTCGTGTTGCTTGTTTACTACTTTTTATAGGAGGCTGAAATAATTTAAAATAATAAAAATGAATAAAGCCATTATTACATAAGACAAATCACAGGTATAATGAATTAACAACTATTAATTGTATTGGATTCTACAAATAATTTTTGGAAAAAGATTTTTTAAATCATTGTATTACACAGCAAATTTTCAATCTGAATTTAGTTTGTAATGCTTGCTAAGATAGGTTATATTTATTCCACGAGTGCAAGTTCCGCAAGTTTGTTATTCTCGCGGGTTGAAAAAAATAGCAATAGTATTTGCATAAATTATCTTGTTGTTCCAACATATGTATCACACAAAACAAAATTAAAAAACACGCGAATGCGATTCATAATCGTGCACTCAACTCACCGCCATTGTCACTGTTTGTATTATCGTTTTAAATGTATGTACACTATAAACACTAAATAACTAAATAACAAGGAATGTTTAGTTTAAAAAGTTTCAGGTTTCAACGACCTGTCGAAACTGTTGAGTGCCACATGTCCTGACAAAACAGAAAACTATATATATGTATACATGGTACACGTAAGCGTGTGTGCATATTCGAACACAGTAAATACAATTATAAAAGAGTAGAGAGATTAAATCCATAGAAGAGGTTAGATTTGACAATCGTTGCCATTGACTCGGGCCAGACTCGAGCAGACTATGACGATTGACAACTAGTGGCGAAAAGATATTTTCGAATGTGTTGTGGCAAGGAAGAACATTACGTTATATGGTTTGCTAATCAAATGAAGTGGTTTTTATACGACGAATATCGATATTTCTTTTAAAACGTTTATTCTGTTACAATATAAATAATCTGTGATGTTTTTATAATTGAAGAACTATGGCGCTGGAACAGATTTTACAGTATATCTCAGATGGCTTAAGTGTCGTTACAATTGCGTTGTGCATAGTTTTAAAAATCCCTCAAATAAAAAAGCTACTTGATAGTCAATCAACTGTAGGCATGTCAGTTACAGGCTTAATACTAGAATTAATTAGGTACATCTTATGTACTAACAAAATTTTGCTATGAAATTATGTGATACATGCAACAAATTCTTTTGCAGTTATAGTATTTCAACGTCTTATAATTTTGTTAATGGATATTCATTGTTAACCTACTTAGAATATCCAATTATAATTATACAAGAATATATTTTAATATTTTTAGTTTTGAAGTATCAGAATTTAATAAATACTCGAACATCGCTGGTAGTGTTAATCTACTTTATAGTCTGTGCAGGATTTGTAACTGAAACGATACCAAAGATAATTTTAACTTTATTATTAGTATGTTCTTAATTCATTACATTTGATTAATAATATTTTATATAAAAATTAAGATTAAATTATTAATATTTAATCTTTTTCAGCCATTTCCTACCCCTATATCTGCTTCGAGCAAAATAGTACAATTAATAACTATTTTAAAAGCTAAAAATGCTGACTCTGTTTCTCCATTGACATGGTTTATTTCTACAATTACTAACTCAAGTAGGTAGCAGACAAATTTTGCATTTATTGTTATAAAACAAACTAAACTATTTTTTTATTTCAGCTAGAATATTTACAATTTGGATAGATTCAGCTGACATCATACTTTTGTCAAATTTCATTATCTCAACATTTTTAAGTTTATCAATAATGTGTGCAACTCTCTACTATAGAAAAGGCCATAAAAAAGTTGAATAGAAAAAAATCAAAATTATTAAATTTAACTAGGCTACTAAACTTTGTTTATTTTATAATTTTAATTTACTATATTAAATTGGCATTATATTTTTGCTATTAAGTATATTGGCATTAAGTCTATTACTTTCATACAAATTTGTTGACAACTTAAAAATATTATTATCAATAAACAATGAATAATTACTTATTCCAATAAATTTTAAGTCGATTTGTATATTAACATTGTAAGTGATAAAATAAAGAAGGTTTAGATTTTCCAAATTTAATTTCAACAGATGCGATCTGTTAGAAGCGTTTAGAGAATAGTCTACCAATGTTATTTGAAAAAAGTTTAATTGAAAAATTTTATATTTCATAATAAATTCGAATCTAACTATTGTGAATTATGTTGTCTATTATTCATTAACACTTTCCTTTTTTTAACAAATTATTAGTTCAATAATTTAATATTTAAATTGACCTCATATTTTTTTATAAATCTCATACAAAAATTAAATTACTCCTATGGGCATTCAGTAATATAACATCTGTATCAAAGCACGAAACGATAATAAATTATACGCTATTCCGTTCTTCCTCTCTTCTCGTTCTTTCAGCGGCAGCGGCTTATGTAACACTGACTTACCTAGTATAACTTTAGTTGCAGTTACCTTAGTGTAATTAATGTAAATTTTGGAAAGAATGTTGCTAAATATCAAATAATATTTTCTGCTTGCACATTGAATGTTTTGGCAGGTGACAAATCATGCTCCTAGATTTTGAGCATTTTACCGTACATAACGAATGGACTTGCTTGATTATGTAAATATCTTAAATTAATAAGTTGACCGAAAGTAAATCCGTAGTCAGCTTATTAATGACAAGTTTGTTGTTAGAATAGATTATAGAGGTATATACTAATCTTGACGATAATATATAAAATTATAGGAGTTGACTAAATAATTTAGCATTAGACATAATTAATTAAAAAAATATTTTTGTATAGTTAAAATATTATCAAAGGATACACACCATTGACTTATTTAGAATATCTAATTATTCTTGTACAGCAATGTATTCTAATTTATCTAGTGCTAAAGTATCTTAATTTACTAAATATTCAAATGCTTCTGGTAGCCTTAATTTACTTATTATTAGTCTGTATAGGATTTTTGACGCATGTTTTACCAATACTACTCTTATGATTTTTTTAGTTCGTAATGATTTCAAAGTGACTTGGACTTATTTAATTGTAGGAAAATTATCTTTAATCGTATTTGTTTTTCTTTAATTGTAGCCAACTTGCACTCTAGGATCTGCTTCAAGCAACATAATGCAATTATAGTAGCTATTTTGAGAACTAAGAATGCCGATGTTGTGTCGTTAATAACTTGGTCTCTTTCTGTATTTACGAATTCTGGTCGGTATTTTACAGAATTCTACTTGATTATGGGAGTTATTTTCCAAATAAACGATAGAATTATTTAATTTTCATTTAACTTTCAGCTAGAATTTTCACAATGTGAATGGTCTCATCAAATTTCGCACTGCTATCAAACGTTACAATTTCGACCCTTTTGAGTTCATCTGTATTGTTCGCGGTTTTTACCATGAAATTATTTTTTACTTTAAAAAAACAACAAAATAAAAGCAACCAAATTGAATTAAATAAGATTACTCGTCGTATTTATAGTTTATTTTTATTTGATTGAAGTTTTACTAAAATTATTTTGGCATTACATCACTGTTTATTTTACAAAAATACATACAAAAATTCTTAGGATTGATTTAACAAATTCAAGTTAGTTCATATAGAAAGAGAAAAGAAATCAGTCGCTAATTAATTTAGATCGTTGGACACACATCAGCGATGACTCTGCCGTGAATGTGTCTTGGGTCGAGCGGATATGGTTTATCTTTAATGATGATATTGTTAATGCAGCCAACGTATTGAGCTCGAGAAACGCTGCCTCTCAATGACTTTCCTGACTCAAGATGTGGATGACCACCGACATAAATCGGATGTTTAGTGAGTACACCACCGTAGTTCTTCGTACCGATTCCTGGTGGTGCGCCGATATGATCAACCGAAAGTACGACGGCGTTCTTTTGTTTCAGAGCTAGAAATCGATTGGTAATTGATTTTTTCAATTTATAATCACATCTTCTATGCGTGCTTATGAAAAGCAAATTGTTTATAGTCTTACCTCGGATGTTGTGCCAGTTACCATCGCATAAAGCATTTGGATTAGCAGGTTGGAAACTGGTTTCCATTTGTCCTTTAGTAGCTTTGACGAGGAACTTGATTGTTCCATTAACCATTTCGAGCACGATGTGATCGTTCCTACCGTGAACCGATAATAAAAGTCCCGAGGATGACCTCGGTTTTATATCCATCTGAATGTCGATCTGCCTGCCCACGGTGTACCTTTCATCTGCAAACATTAAATCGTTCTTAAATTAAAATATTCCTAAACTCCGTAATATCTCTAAATTTTAAGAATTTGATACCTACCAGCCTTGAACCAGTTACTACCGTTACCCGGATAGAAGAACATTCCAGGCTCAACCCTTTTGGAGCAAGGTATCACTCCAAATTTAAACGTAGGCTGGGGCACGAGTAATCCATTCAACATAAAGCTACGTATACAGCCACTAAACGATTTGTTAAAACCAATGGTTTTGTCAACAATAGAGGCATATATAGGATCGACACCTCCAACAAAGTATGGTCTCTGAACGTTCGTTTGCGTGGTTGCTTCCTGGCATTGACCTTTCATGTGAGGTGAACCGTCGATGGTTAATGTGCCAGTTGTTAGTTCGCGACGGAAATACACTGTATGCCACTGTTGGTCGTTTACTTTCCTATCGCTGATTGCCATTCCTGGAATTCCACCCCCGCAGTTGAATTCAAAGTGAACCTATTCGACATGACAAAAAATATTTTATTGTAGATTGACTTGAATAGTAAAAATGAAACACTATCATTTTGTCTACATACGTATCCATCCTTAATGTAAAGAGCGATCATATCTGGCTGGTTGACATTGAAACTGTAGAACACAATACCGTCCGTCGCAAATGTTTTGATGTCAATTTGGAAATCGAAGTCATCCAATGTTTGACCACCCAGCGAATTATATTGGAATCTACTGTTCATTTGAGTTCCTGCAATAAAATTTTTTTTTAAATTTATTGTTCAAAAATACCATTGATGTCGTCACTTAAGATTTACATTCATTTGTATTCTTGATCGGGTTAGGAACAGTCAATGGTTCTTTCAACTAGCAATCGTTGTTATATTTTATCTTATTGCAATCTCTCTTACTTCATCCGATTTAAATATCCCATAATAATTAGAAATATATTTTTAACATTACTTTTAAAAGAATGATCGATATCTCAAAAAGTGTAAGAGTAGATGAAGAGAACGTCTAATTCTATATTTTCAAGTGGAATTTCAATGCATTTACAAATTGAACTCTATACTGTTGTTGCATTCTTTTATTGTGATCATGTTTCAGTTGATTGAATGCAAATTTCTAAGAAGTCACCTAACACCGGAAAATACTTATAACAGAAGTGCTGGTTATTACCGATACGTATAAGAACAACAAACTTGTTTCACAGTAGTTCAGTAGAGCTTCAGCAGTTCTGTCGTAAGCATTCGATTTTCAATAGATCAAAGATTAGTATCCGTTCTTACAATCGGGTGTCTTTTTGTGAATTATATACCATTAAATTGTACAATCGACTTGAGATAAATAAGTATGTAATGTGTAACCGTCATTTTTTATAGTGATATTAAGTATCATATGAGAAATATCTAAAAATCCTGTTATAGAGATGGAAAAGAAGGAAATGAAAAAAAGCAGTCCAATGGCCAATGTTCCAAATAAAGTACCCGATCGCGTTGAAAAAAATGTAGTGGAATACGATATTAAGCCAATCACGCTCAAAGAGTTCTCCAACATAGCTGAAGAATTTTGGAAAAATAACAAAAAATAACAGTTTTGAAAAACTTTAGTAAGGAAATTATTTAAACTCTAAATATCTTTGTTTTTTTGATGAAGAGAATGTATCTTTGAACAAATTTGAAATAAAATATTTCCAATGCAAAATAATTGTTTAATTTACTTTTTTATGCGACAAAATTTTTCATGTGGATAAACATTGATTAATTTTCTTCTATGGAAATTAAAGTTTGCTGCGAATGATATAGGTGAACAACAATTTTTAGAAACTTAATTTCAGTATATTCAAAAAATCAACTACGAAAATGTGAATGATATAAAATCAAGCTTACCGAATCTCCAAGCATTTTCACTCATTTGATCAGGATCTGTGACTGGATAGTAAGGTAATCGGCATCCGTCAACAGTTTCAGGTTCCCTTGGCGATGTTGTCGATGGCTCTGTGGTAGTAGTGATAATTATAGGAGATTCGTTATCATCCTCATGCAGTGGCGGACGACCCTCGCTTGGTGATTCGTCGTCTGTTTCATGGAATCGCATGTCTATATCGGGCGTGTTAATTATATCTGACAAATGATTGTAAATTATATGTATTAAAAATAAATTCTAGAAAAATTAAAAAATAAAAGATATTTAATACTTACTATCAGAGTCGTCCCACTCCTCCTGTGGTAACGGTGCATTTGTTTGCACTGTAGGTTCTTCAGGGAACGTAACTAAAATAAATACATCCATTTATAAAATAGTCAAAAATAATCAATGAAAACCCAATAGAGTACACTTACTGTGTGCGGAATCAGTACATTGTCCTAGATTCGCGTAAATTTTCTCTGAAGAATTGGCAAAATTGATAATAATTCCATTCAACGTTGCGTCACCAATGCAACCATCAAAAGGATCATAAATTCTACCCTGTTTGAATTTATCTGGTACGCTACCAACGTAGAGTGCACCATTGCTTATTTGACTGGGATAAGGTGCATCATCCATTTTTTCGTCCTCAGTATCATCAATATCTAGTCTTAACAAGCTATTATTATGTGTAGCGGTAATGTAATGCCACTCGCCGTCGTTAAATCTGATATCCGGAGTATTCGCTTCAAGTCGTGCTCCTTGAGTTTCGAGAACCAATTGGCCATTTTCAAGGAACAACGTACTTACTGCTGAACTATCCGAGTTGACTAGATGATAAATCACACCGTTCTTGCTTTGAGTCTTGAATTTAAGACTTAGTTGACGTGCATTTTGCACCGAGACGTCACCCCATTTTACATGTCCTGGTCGCATGGAAGTAAACGATACCAAACTTGCGAATTTAACAGGGCATCCATTGACAACGCCAAGGGCTTTCATATTCTTTGTGAGATCAACCGAAAGCTCTTGAACAGATACGTCATCGATGCAACCTTCAAAGCCCACTTGCGTCACCGGCTTGTATGGTTGTTGAATGGCAACTGGATAACCACCGAAGTACATGTAATCTGTACTGTGTAAAGTTTTATTCGCACCTTGGCTTTGGCCTTGGCCGACTTCTTTACCATCTACTTTGAGTGCTCCTATTTGATCGAGACGCATGGCTGTAACTTCGTGCCATTTGCCATCATTGTACCTAGTTATATAAGTATAAGTTCATTTATAAATGACTAATAAATCTGAATTTGTAATATGGTACTAACTGGCTTACCTTTGTGGTGTTTTGATGGCAACCATTCCATCATCTAATTCAAATTGATAAAGAATTTGTCCATCTTTCAATTCTATTGCAAGGAAATGTTTCTTTCCTCCCATCAAAAACATAAGTCCATTGTTAACCCACGTCTTAAATTTAAACATTACTCTAAACTTCTTAACATCCGGAGGTAGCGAATGTGCTTTTTTGCTCAAAAGAGCATATCCATCCCTTTCAAATCGGTAACCTGTCGTCGGTTGAAGATTCACCAACTTATCACGTTCATAAGCTGGTTGACCATTATTCTCTCCGTAGACGAAGTTGAAGAAACTAACCGGTACATCGCCGATTATTACATCCTCCATTTCACCATCGAATGAAGAAGAGATAACCGCATCTTGAACTTGGAACGATGGTGGAATACCACCTACGAAGAGTTTCGATTTCTCCTGATCCAAGTTGAATACTGAGTGTGACCCTGGCAAGGATTGTTCAGTGATGTAGCTCTGTTCACGACCATCGCCTTCATCTTCACGAACTATTAGTTTGATGTTACGACCGGTACGATCAACCACCAACTGACGCCACATGTTATCGGAGACGTAGCGGTTGCCGATTATTCGTTGAGGTCCTGAACCTAAATCCAATGTCAATATGGGGTATCCACCTTCGATCGTTAGCGCCATGAAATCATGCTACAAAAATAAAAAATAAAAACTGCATTATGAAACGTTCAAGAGAATAATTTACAATGAAAAATAGAGCATACTCACCGTGTTAGTTCTTGGAATATTAGTTCTGTTCTCATTTCCTAGGTACAATAAGAAACCATTGGCCTGTTTCGTTCTAAAGTATAACGAGACTTTCGATGAAGTAGTTTGCAATGGTAAACTTTCAGGATTCTTTAATTGTAAAGTCGTATTCGGGAAGAATGTCAATCCAATTCTTATTCTATTAGCCAAATCTCTGGCATTTTCAATCTTCTTTTTCAGTTGCTCGATATTGTCATACAAACTAGTTCCATTTCCATTGATCGACTGTTGTCTATCACTTAAGATTCTTAAACGATTGTTGATGTCAGGTAGAATTGTACCGAAAGAATCAAGTTGATGGTTGGCTTGAGATACGTCACGGTTAGCGTCTGAAGTATCCTTGGATAGTTGTTTAGTGCGTTTGAGATCTTCGGGAATCTTCTCTTCTTTACCAGTTAGATGATTGGCTAAAGCTTCTCCAATAGTGTATTCAGCTTTGTCGGCGTTGTTGTCAGCTTCTTGAATGATCATCGAACCTGATTCTACTGACAGTGTGTTAAGCGACCTGATTTCAATTAAATAATTTTTAATACAATATAAATAATAGGCTTGAATGAATTAAAAAATTATACTTACTTATCAATAAAGTCAAGTTTCTGGATATTTTTAGCGTTTTCATCGGCAATATAGTGTACATTATAATATTTAGCATTTAAGAGCGTTGGCTTGAGATTTCGATCAGTTTTATCCACAGCCGTTCTTGCGTTATTCAACAGCTCACTACTTTTTCTTTGGGCACTATCACTTCTGTCTCCAAGTCCATCAGCCTATACCAATCACAATTCAAATTATTCCTGTGAAATCACATTATTTTTACAAGTAGAATAGATAATCACCAAATTAGTAGCATTATCAGCTGATTTCATAGCACTTTCAGCATGTTTTCTGGCCTCACCGATACTGAGTGCAATATTTTGATAAACTGAAGCAGCGCGTACTGCAGTTAAATTACGTGTGTCCAAAAGCATAGATTCCAATCTCATAGATTTATTCTCAAGACTGTGAGCGTGGTGTACTGCCTCGGGTACTTCGTTTTTGACTGCCGCGAGTAAAACTTCGTTGTCGTTGATAGTATTGGTAAGATGTTCGATCGCTTCAGTCGGCTTATCGATTTCCACGGTGTTTTCTGAAATAATTGTTTTTATTACAAAACGATCATTTTTATATTATTTACGTAAAATAAAAGTTGTATACTCACTTAATTCGCTGAAATTGTAAAGTGCTTCGTTATACAACTCTTCGGCTTTCTTATTCAACTCGTCGCTCTTTGCAATATCGTCCTTGGTCTGGTCGTAAGCTATGTTGACGGCATTCTTTGTGCTGGAATCCACAACCTTCTTGTTTTCAAAATTAAGTCTTTCAGCTTCGTTGGCTTTATCGTCAGCTTGAACTGTTAGATTATACATATCATCTATTTGATTGGATAATTCACGTGTTTTATTCTTAACAGCTTCAGTGTTATGTTCGAGTTTCTTTACAGGTTCTTCGTAACTAATCATTTCAGATACAAGAATGTTAGCTTGATCAACTTGGTCAGTTGCTTTATCACGAGCTTCGGTAAAGCTTACCTAATTGAAGTAAATTTCAATTATTACTTATGTAATCTCTTATTTATTTGAATTTCATTGTCAACAAGTACAAACCTGCTTCATCTTCTCAAGAATTTCTCGCGATTCCTTCAACGCATTATCAACTTTGGGACCACTGCTGAACTCAGTGTTAGTTGCCAGCGACTGTACTTCGTTGATAATTGTATTTACCAAATTAATTTCTTTATTAACATCTGTCTCTAGATTATTCACATCTTTTAAGTTCTTTTCGGCCATTCCTTTCCATTTCATACTGTCGTCATTTCGGTACTCAACTGTTCTCTTCAAACTATAAGCTTTGCTACTTAGTTTACCGATCCGTTCTTTCAATGGCTGGAAGTCAATTCGCCTTGGGTCCAACAATTTCACTTCTGGGGCTAATTTACTCAGAGTTTGATTGATAAAATCAAGACGTTGATTAGTAAAGAAAGTGTCGGCGACATTCTGGAAGGAATTGGCTACTGGATCTAGTTTAAGTCTCAAATCATCCGTAACGTCGAGTAAGTCGTGAGTGCATTTGTCACAAGTCTGACAACCGCGACGTTCGTCAAGTATGGTACGTTCAGGGCAGTGGTCGCACTTTTCACCCAGCACTCCGGGTAAACATTCGCACTGTCCGTTGATGGGGTTACAAGAGGCACCTCGCGAATAACCAGTCGTACAGCTGCAAGCTACAATAAAAAATATATAAAATATTTTCAGTGATTAATTGGAAGAATTGTGAATCATAATACTCACATATACATCCTTCAATAGTATAATTCCAGAATCCAGCCATACACTGGTCGCAAGTACGCCCTTCTACGCCAGGTTTACACTTACACTTGCCATCTTCATCAGCGCACTGAGTACTCTCCGAAGCAAGTGCACAGTTGCAAGGTCTGCAGCCCTGACAAGATTGAAAACCATAATGATCGTCCGCGCAACGATCACACGTTTCGCCCTCTACATTCTCATGACATTCGCATGTTCCACTGTAGCTGTCGCATTTCTTCATACCTAATAAAAATTAATATTTACACAATTGTTCGAATCAAATTTCGTAAAATAATATAAATTACATACCGCATCGGTCGCAATAACAACTCTTGCAGTCTTTCCTATCAACGGCATCACCAAAGAATCCAGGGGCGCAAAGATTGCAAGCTTCGCCGTAAGTGTTATTTAAACATTTCAAACAGTCACCAGTAACAGAATCGCACGAGTCGATAGAATTTGTATCGATATTTCCAGAACACTGGCAAGGTTTACATGTATCACCGATGGCATCTGGTCTACCAAAGAATCCAGCTGAGCAAGATTCACATCTGGCACCATAGTATCCTGGCAAGCAATCACAACTGATACGACTTCCATCTTCACTGACGTCACAACCTTTGGCAAAGTTGTTGGATGGCAATGGTAATGGACAGGCACAGATGAGACAATCGGATGGTGTACCGTAGGTAGCGTTACCATAGTAACCTTCTTGACAGAACTCGCAGTGATCGCCAATTGTACCATTCTTACAATCCTATACAGTAAATATTTCGTTGAATCATTGAAATTTATGCATATTTTATGCAAAGAAAAAAAGGACTTACTATGCAAATTCCCGTATTAACGTCGCATGAGTCAGCGTGTCCGTTACACTGGCATTTCACGCAGGAACCACCAAATGGTCCTGGTACTCTGTAATAACCTTTAGCGCATTCTTCGCACGACAGACCTTTGTAGTTAGGTGGGCACTGACAATGTTCAACACTACTAGCTAACTCAGCGTTCAAAATGTACTGATCAGTACCGGTGTCGAGGGTTACTTGGGATAAGCTATAAGTCGAAAACATTATCACTACATGTTTTTGTATGATAAATAGATTTTTGAAATTGAAAATACTTACTAGACTTTCAAAGTCGGTAGCCAATAGGTCGCTCGAATGTAAATGCCTCTAAGATCTTTCAGTATAACCATAAATTCTTCTCTAGTCGCCATAACATTGTGTTTGGTCTCAAAATTTGATTCGACCAACTGCACCGACGTAATGAAGTTCTCCAACGATGGTGGTTGCTCTTCAGCTCTGTACATCAAGAAATTATCTGCGCCCTGTAATATAACGTCGACACCAGGAACAGCTTGACCATAGATACCAGTAGTAGTGTAAAAGATAGTGTAGTTCAACCATCCACCATAGGATGTGATCTTCTTGTTGAGGTAGGTTAGTGGAACGGATAAATACAAGATGTCCTTATCGTCAACTTCATTTGGATCGTTAACTTTCATATCGACCATGATATGAGTCTCGTTGAGTTTCTGTGGTATATTCTTGATAATCTTCACGGTATCATTTTTCTCGTTCACCAAAGCGACATCCCAACCATCCATATCCGTAATGTGAGTTCTGTACAAAGTTGCTGAACTACATCTAGTTGTTTTACCAAAGCAGAAGCATTGGCTACAACCTTTCTCATTGTTAGCTTGTAAATTAAACATTCCTTCCTTGCAAACATCGCAAGCTGGTCCGTGCACATTCTCTTTGCATTTACAGTCAGCATTGTCCTGGTCGCAAATTTCATCTGTCGTACCTCTAATATCACAGTCACATTTTTCACAGTATGGAAATGCATAGTGTCCAGGATGACAAACGTCGCAACTACGTCCATCCACATTAGGCTTACATTTACATGTACCCAAGAGAAGGTCACACTGAAGATCACCATTGAGAACACCATGTGGATGACACTCGCATTTTTCGCAACCGAAGATCTGATGGTACCCGTAAGTACCGATTTCACACTGATCGCATTTATCACCTATGACGTTCGGTGGACAAAAGCAATCGCCATTTTCAGGATTGCAATGAGCACGCGGTGGACAATTGCATGGACGACAATTGGGGAAACCAAAATAATCGGACTTACAAATGTTACATCTACGGCCAATAACGTTAGGTTTGCAATGACATTGACCACCGAACTTTTCGCATTCAAACGATCGAGAACCTTCAACGTCACAACTGCAAGGTAAAGCTCCACTGTTATAATTGGTGGTCAATGAGAATACTGAGTCCCGACAGAAACTAGTTTCATTGATGTCGATCGTGAAGTGATTTTGACTGCATTGTTCGATGAATTGTTTAGTTTGATCGAATTGTAATTTCCTCAAGATGTCATCGCTGTAGAGATCAGCCGGTATTACCAGAATATAGTCCAGGTAGATTCCACGTCCGGTGATTTCTTTTAGAGTTATTACAAAATTTTCGATCAACTGGAAGCGTGCGTCGCCTAAAAAATAAATTATCATAACGTTTTCTGTTATTCTCAAAACAATATAAATTAATTATTCAAATAAAATAATAATGGAAGTTACCATTAGTCTGACGAACAAGACTTCTACATCCGCTGTTGCTCGGGCAATGTGTCATAGGTACTCTAGCCTCGTAGAACTTTCCATTCTGTACAAATACTTCAAGATCAAATTCAGGGTAGTCCGGTTGATAATATTGCACAACAAAAACGTAATCTCCTATATGAGGAACTTTTGCCGGTATATCAATTGTCTCATCTTGATCGTGAAGGTAGATAAACTTGGAACTGTTGTCATAAATTCCATCGGGTGTCGTAGCAACTTCTAATACATTGCTAACTTGATCGAGTTCTATGCGTTTAGCATCGGGTGCTTCAGGGAATTGATCTTGGATGCATTGGCCATTATTGCGTATGCACACTGATTTTGGCATCAAATATTCAACTGACCATTCTGAGACGGGAACTGCAACAATTGCTTTTACGGCAACGTTCAAGCCTGGTTCACCGTCTAACACAATGATTACATCATTATTGGGGAAGTTCATCATAGCCACTTTGCCGTTGGGTTCTGTAACTACTTGACGGCAGACGCTACTATAGGTGCACGGATAAAGAATAGCCTGAAAAAAAGTAATGATTATTAAAAATATTTGAAAGGACTCTAAGGAAAATGCATTAAATGTTCGATTCTTACCCTGCCCTTGTCTTTATAGTTAACATCGACATTGAAGATAGCAGTACGGCTCTGTTCCTTTGGAGGTGTGACATAAGTGATAACAAGCACATATGGTCCCGGCTTGCTAATCACCATTTCAAAGTACAATTTCGATTGTTCGTCATTGATTATTGGCAATGGATTCTCTCCCCATTCTCTTAGAGCATACTCGTCATCGAATATTTTATTTGGTGGATTTCTTGACCCATTATCATCGACAAAAGCACCATTACCGAGCACAGCGTCGAATGGAGTCAAGTTCGGGTAACCGTAGTGACGGCATAGGCCCCTGTCACCAATGTGACATGGGGTACTGACATCTTGAGTGAGTATGCTTGCTTCGTAGTACTCGGATGGGAGGAGAACAAAATAGTCGAGCAAGATATTCTTTTCAACGGTGATTGAAACTGTCCAATGACCGGCATTCATTACCATTACCGATGGTAGATTGCCTTGCGCACCTAATCAAATACAATGGTTTTATTTAAATAATGTTTAATTGGACGTATGTTAAGAAATAACTATCTGAAAAAACTTACCAGCTACAGTAACAAATGCTGGTTTGTTCGTAGGCTTGAACTGAACCTTAAAGTGCTGTTCGTCATCAGCATGATTATCAGGTGCAATGGTCACAAATCCAATGATCGGTTTAGGATTTTTATTCACATATCGCATCACCATACGGTATAGCGACGATTTCTGTACATCAATTTCATGAATGATTTTGTTTTGAAGCAACGAGAACTCTGCGTATCCCTTCCAGCTATAACCGGGGAAAAGATCCTCTGCGAAACCATAACGTGTGGATCGGTTGTTCGGAGCATGGCTGTCCTCGGCTTCATATTGAAATTGATGAAGAGTTGGGAAATAATGAGCTCTCATAGGTTGGTTGCAAGTTTGACCTTCCACGCGATTGCGACAGAGACATTGACCGTCTTGTTTATTGCAAATTGGACTTAAAGAACCACCGATATTACAGTTACATCCTGCAATAATAATTAAGGAAGAAATTAGTTTAGCAAAATAGATTTGTAAATTATCTTAAACTTACTGACCGGCACAACCAAAAAGATTACTCTCTTGAAGATTGTACATGCCGTCCGCGCATACGGAACAGTCTCGAGAAGTCACACCAGGTTTACAGATACACTGACCAGTTTTGCCATCGCACTCGCCGATGCTACCGATAACACCAGGAATGTGACATTGACAGTCTAAAAAATCAAGACATGAATATCACAGGAAACTTTATTACAAACTCATTGGAAATTATGAAGATAAATCTCTACCTTCACACCCGTCAGGATTGTTAGCTTGCAAGTTCCAGAATAGCTTTTTACACTCATTACAAATACGTCCTTCTACGCGTTCTTTACATTGACAGAGTTCACCAGCTGGCAAACTACCGCATCCGCGGAATGTACCAGCAATACCAGCAGGATCGCAATTACATCCCTCGCACGTGGGGTAGTTATAATAGTTGTCTTTACATCTCTCACAGCGATCGCCTTCAAAGTTCTCGAGACATTGACATTTGCCGTCTTGACCGCAGGATATGCCATTTGAACCATGAGTACCGCAATTACAAGCTGTAAGTTAGATATGTTATGATTAATTACAATGTTTGTAAAGTTATTCAAGAGTTTAATGTACTCACCGATACAATCAGGATAGTTGTAATAACCAGGGGCGCACTGATTGCAAGTTTTGCCGACGAAGTTGAACAGACAGTGACATTTGCCACCAACGTCACAACTAATTGAAGACGAACCATTAAAGCTGCAGTTACATGGCTCACAGTTGGGATAGTTGTAGTAACCACTGATACATTGATCACATCGAGGACCGCCGTACCCTTCTTTACATAGACACTTGCCGTTTTCTTTGTCGCAAACGCCGGGTTCAGTACCACGTGTATCACATTCGCAATCTGACGATGGACATTTAATAAATGATAAACAAATTTCATCGATTTTTTATGTAAATTTTTTTTACTTACATGTACACTTGGGATAATTGTAGTAACCATCTTCGCAGATGTCACACTGTCTGCCACCATAATTGGACTTGCAAGAACAGTTACCGGACAAGACATCACAAACGTTGTTCAGTGAGCCAGTTGGGTTACAGTCGCAAGCTTAAATAAACATATTAAAAATTAATACCAAAAATCACAAAAATAAACAAAAATTAATAAGTAGCTTACAATAACAGTTGGGAAAATCGTAATATTCTTCAGCACAAATGTTACAATAATGACCAGCGAAGTTGACTTTGCACGGACATTGTCCCTCGATAGCTTCGCAGTGATATCCTTCGGTACGGTTAAGATTGCACTCGCATGGTCGGCAGTTAGGATAGCCGAAGTGACCGTAACTACATTCATCGCAATTTGGTGCTGCATACTCAGGTCTGCATTCGCACTGGCCGGTCGATTCGTAACAGTTACCGGTCAGATTGAAGTTATTGCAATTACATGCTGCAATTGTAAAAAGAAATTACAAATTATTATAAATCATCAAGAAAGATGTGTACTAACGAATTCATATTCAAATACTCACGCTGACAAACGTCAGTAGCATTGAGTGGTTTATAACCCGGTCTGTAGAATTTGGGTTTGCAACGGTTACAGTTAATACCTTCGGTATTGTGTCTACAGTTTTTACATTTACCACCACCTTCATAACTACCGTGAATATCCAACGACAAATGTTTTTCGTCAATTTCAGCGTCGTATTCACATTCTTCCGAATGTCCGAAACAGTTACACGCTAACAATGTCAAAAAAGTAAAAGTTATTACATTATTTAAATAAGAATTTTCGTATTTAAACTTACGTTCGCAGACAAATTTCTTAGAGTAAGTTGATTGTCTCCATTTTTTCTGCTCAAAACCTTTGCAGCAATTTTCACACTGAGCGCCACAAGTATTATGTTGACACTGACAGAACAGCTTAGTTGGACGACTGGCATCTAAAGTGCCGCACTTATCGGCATGACCGTTACAGAAGCAACGACCTCCGATTTCTATGTCTTTTATAGAATAAAAATACTGCAAAATAAAGGAAGTGAAGTTTTATTAATAAGAAAAAAAATAATGATGCAGTTTCAATATAAACTTACTCGTCTCGTCACGGTAGGATCTTGTCTAATTAATTGTCCGTCGGACATCAAGTGTCCAAGGAAATTATTTGTCTTGATAAATCTGAATCTAACGTCTGTAGCTTTAGTCCATTCTTGCAAAACCGATGAATTGAAGTAGTAGTTGGATGATGGTCGGTTGTTTAGAATGGAGATTGGTATCTCGCCACCCTCCAGTGGTACGATTTTTGAGTATTCGGTTTTGCAAACAACCGAATCATCACGTGTGATAGGCGTGTTTGCTTCGATGCCGAAGTATGTTTGACAATCGTTGTTTGATTCACCAAAGTACATCCATGATGTCCAAGTCTCGCCGAAATCTTTAGATTTCTCGAGTACCCATAGTCGTGGTCGTGGTGCGTTACCCATACGCATATACACGTATGCGACATGGAATATCTTTGAAAAAAAGTTTTTAAATAAATTTTTTACTTATAATTATATATAATTATTTCTTTAATATTCAAATATATAAAAATATTAGAGTAATTCTTTCTACTCCTTTTGTGTAAAAAAATAATAGCTGAACCGAAGTAGTTAAAAATAATTGAGTGGTTTAATTTGGAGTGGTGTACTCAAAATATGCCAATTATAATGATGTATGGGTCTTGATTAATATTTAATCAATAAGTTGAAAATAGGAACTGAAGCGTGTTTCAAAAACTAAACAGTATTTTTATTTTTTTTTCCAAAGAACTATTCATTTAAGTTTCGTTCAAGTAACATAGGTCTTCGATAAAAAGTGATCAAAGTTTGCATTTTAATTATTTAAATCTTGAAATCTTGCTATTTTTATCCATAAAATATTAGCTAATGCTTCTTTGTTGAGAAAGCTCTCTTTCATGAAAATTAGCTTTTCAAAATGATCATAGAAGTGTCTTTAAAAATAACGTTTAAAGAGTGTATATCTTCATAGTTTTTGTTCTTTGCATGAAGCGTGCGTCTGTTTATGAAATTGTTATACATATTGTCATTCGGTTCACTGGTACTCGTTATATTAATTGTAATAAAATAAACCTATCTAATATAGGAATTTATAGCATAAATCAACACGAATAATTTTTGACTGAAATGGATTTTTTCATTACACTGTTGAAAGCTTGAAATTAAGTTTGTATAATCTTTGTAAAAGGTCTCAATTACAATTGTAGAAAACTTTTATAAACCTTTTATGATGATTGACCGGCTTTTTGATTTTTCATTATCTAGCGCGTGTCAAACGTCTAGAAGTCGGGCAAGGAATGCCTTAAATTAGTTTTTATTTGAATGCGTAAGCATCGATAAGAATAGTACTTTTACGGCTGCTGTAAAGGACTTAACAATTCAACTAGCAATCATTTCTATTTAAAGAAAAGGAAACATTTTGCAAAATTAATTTACAGCTACTTTCATTTTCATATCTTATAATTAATTTGGTGAATTAAATATAACTTTGAAACAAAATCCTTGCTATATCTTTGGAAAAAGCATGTTTGATAACATATTCAAAAGAGCTGTGTACGCCCTAAGAAAAACTTTCATTCAATATGACCATACACGTTAAATGCCATCACTTGTCTCGTCTCAAAATAGACGAGTGCATGCTTTTCCCCACGCACATCGGTAAGTCGTAGAGATTAAGGAGGTCCGTTTGGTTGCCAGATGTGCCGGGTCCCTGTTGCTTTCTCTCTCTCTCTCTCTCTCTCTCTCGCATCATGAAAAGAACGAGGAAGAAAAAAAATTGAACGATTCATATATGTTTCTCACATGTATGGGTTCTCAGTATTTTTCGAGAGACCAAATTATCAGCGACGGCAGCGGCGGCGGCCAGTTGGAGATTATTGGGAGGCAGAAGCCGAGAGAAGCGGCATTATGAAGTTAGAGATAAGGGGGTTGAACGCACTATCGCCGCATCCGCTTAAGAGAGTAGTCCGCGCCAAGAGATACAGATAACAAATTGTATACGCGCTTCAACAGGAAATCATTCGCCCACGACATGGCGATGGATGCGTGATTAGTGTTGCGCCCGAGAAGCAATCTCGTCCGTTATTTTTCTTTTTATCACCGCATGATTTGAGAACTTGTTGCTGTTTCATAGAATTTCTCGATTAACATGTATGTTAATCGGACCATGTAGGTATATAAAGCTTTGATATTTTAATTCAATTGACCATTTCTGATAGATGTGTTCATTTAGTTATAGCTGTAAATTATTCGTTTTCTTCTTTATAGAAACAGATTTTTGTTATATTTTTCAATTCCACTGCTCAGAACGAGTCTGTATAAGGCTAATTAATTTAAATGATGATCATTGAAAAAAGTTCTATACTTCATAAACAAGTTTAAGTAACTATAACTCACGGAGTTATGGTCTATAACAATTTTTTATTGAATTTTCTACTTGAGATATTATTATTAATTAACAAACGTCATATTTAAAATTTTTTTTTTTTTGTAAATCTTAACTCTGATAATTACCTGTCCAAGGCTGATAGTAAGGTTGATCTGTTCATACTTCCTCCCCCTCGAAAGTGGAGGTGATTGCCACCAGGTTTCCCTACCATCATTGGCATACTCGGGCGGATGTTTTTTTTCCTCGTCATCGGGGTCGCAGTAGTCGCATTGCTGAAATCATTGATGATTTGAGATTTTTGGCTGTTCCGAAAACAAAACGAGGTTACAGTTATCAAGAGGTCAACATTATCTATGTAGTCGCCTCCCTTGGACGACGAAGCAGCAAAGCTCCCGTTTCCACGCGGCTTGAGAGATATCGGGTAACCGTTGAGTCATTTTAACACTAAGCGATAATTGTTATGGAATTCGCTTGGTGAGCGAAGATATTTTTTCTTCTGTCGTAGCGCGCGTGATAAAAGCAATACTTTTATGTAACTAATTTTATGCCGCGAAATGAGTGATTAATTTTTTTAGCAAATTGTTTATCGTGAAGCAAGTGCTTTTAATGTTGAATGTTTTTCAATCGACCATTTATGAGTTAATTGATTTTTACAGCAACGGTAATCTTGGAATTATTACGTTGAACTTGTAAAGATTTCAGAACAAAATTTGCAACAATTATAAACAACTATTTTCATTAGTCGAGCACATTTAAAGAGCACGATTGATAAAATACAATGTGGTGAATTGTACTGCGCAATGATTCAAAAAGATATTTACTGTTCTTTCAGTGCTATCTCATGATAATTGCATGCAGCGAGGAAGCACTCCGTTTCCTTCCGAGTATCAATTGACAAAAAAGTAATATTAATAATAAAATCAAGATCATTTTTAGGCATCCGTACAGAAAAACAGAAAAATAAAATTGTGAAACTAAAATATTGTTGCATTTTTTAAGTCGGTCCCGCGCATAAAAATACTTAAAAAATTTTATCGCGAATGTCATCAATAAGTATTTCATTTCAGAATCAATCTGAACTCCCCTCTAACAATCTCAAAAATCGGCTGCACCCCATTTCCTCGCATATAGAAACATCCCAAGATACAGTACACGCTTTGCATGTTATTAATAGAACCACCATAAATACTTCGAAACTACGTCCTACACGCGCTCTCGTCATCGCTTATACCCGCAAAATATATGTAAGACTTTAGCCAATTTTTTTCGCATACCTGTCCCTGAATAATAGTCTGATTATTAACGCTATTAGCCTCTTGATCGGAAATAGCACCGACGAGTTGGCAATAGAGTTCAGGTCCAGGTGTGTTAACGCCGCATGTATCCGTAGCGGTGATGGCTTTACCAGCCGCAAGATTAAAATAAGGCGGCGTCAATATCTCCCCTTTTGACCAGCATAATTGCAACGCCAACAGGAGCAGCAGTCGTAACTGCCCCATCGTCAACACCGCCAACTAAAATAATACCCTCACGCTTTCATTCACGATTCTTCGCTGCTTCGCTGCTCGTCAAGCACTGAGGCTGGAAGAGCGCACATGGTGGCGCGGACGAGACGCACAGCTAGAAAGAAGAAAGAAAAAAAAGGGAGGAGGGAGACACGTTGCTGCTGCTGCTGGTATTTCGTCGACCGGTTTGCCGTGGCTGCGTGAACCTCCATTGTCTCTCTCTCTCTCTTTTTAGACGGATAGCCAGTGCGAAAAATAAACCATGTAGCTGTGGTTTTTTAGCATTCATGGGTTTTCGGAAATTTCTGGCAGGCTTTTGGCACGTACTTCGTTCGGCAAATGTTTGGCGATAATGATTTTCATTTTGCTCCACATTGTATTATACCGATAGTATATATAAATATTTTGTAAAAATTGAAAAAATACATACGCACGCACACACACACACATATATATATATATATGGATTGCTGATTTTAATTATAATGGCTTTCCTAAATAATATATTTCATTCATTTTATTCTTCATGTTATTTCCACTTGTCAAAAAGTTAGCTATTATAAATTTTAAAAAATTATATTTTACATTCAAATAGTTATCAATAAACTTAATGTTTTACTTATAGTAGTTTCAAAAATCGGAGCAGATAAATTACTTTAAAATGTATGAATCGCATTAACGTTTCAATGACTTATTTTAGCCAATCGTATCATTTTAAATAAACTGCAATTCTTTCTACTTCTGTGAGCTTCTCTTTCATTGATAACTTATTCATTATCAGCTAGACCTATGCTTTACATGTTTTCTATTTTTAACCAATGTTGAAATCAGATATATAAATTAAATAATTTTTTGGTTCCTTGTAAATATACCTACTAGATTGAAAATTGTGTTGAGTTAATCATCTTTTACCTTTAAAAATAAAATATATCCGTTTTACTCATTTTAATTAGTTTTTGTTATTTAAAACTATATCAAGTAAAAAGAAGCTACTTCTTCTAATATTAATTATTTTTGTAACATATAAGTGTAGTTGTGGATCGTACAAAAAGATATAAAATGAAATGTTTTTATAGCAATCATCATAACACATTAAAGTTTATTCTAATAATCATGTGTGATCTTCAATACAAAGTAGTCTTTAGGAACGACGATTGTATCAAAACTGAGTGTGATAATGATTTCCGAGTTTGTTTTGATTGCAATTATAGGACTTGTGTAAGAAGCGTTGCGAATGCGATGTGACAGATGATAAATAATTTTACAATACATTGTAATGACTTTATATTAATTGGATCCTGTTAAATTATATAAAATTATATCTCATACTTAAGGTTATATAATACACAATTAAAAACTCAATGCACTACCACCGATTCTGTAATACATGTATGAGCTCGTTTGAATTTTGTGACAGTTTATACTTGCAAGTGTGCCAAGCACTTTACATTCATGATATAACCGAAAAAGCCGCTATGAGCGCTTTGAAAGTTACTTTTTAACTAAATTTACAAATTGGAAACTGATGGGATCCATAAAGATCACTGTTCATTTTCTTATGGTTATAAAATCACTTTACGGTCACAACACCAATTTATTTATAAATTCACGCAACAAAGAAATTGAATAAATATGAAATAGGTAACTAGTATAAATAATTCAATTATATTGGAAATATGACTGTGAATCAAATGAGTTCATCTGAATACAATAAACTTTGGTTTAATGACAAAAGAATAAATATTTTTTTTACAAGGAAGTTAAAGAGTACAATACAAACACCTTTTAACATTTTTTATTGTTTTATTCTTAACATACAGTTTAAATATACGATCTCGTGTTTGTTTTTTGGATTTCATACATCACGGTAGTATATGATCACTGTGTGTTTGTATACTTTTTTATAAGATAATTATCACATTTTCTCGTTACAATTAATAAAACTTAACGATATTGTAAAATCAACTTCGACGTATATATACGAACGATTATTCATTTTCCAAAGAGACAACTCGAAGACGATGAAAAATAAAAAGTAGAATCAAAAACTAACATGTTATGGAGCGGGAAATAAGAATATGCTAGTATAGAAAAACCACAATTGTCAAAGGACAGTTTAGTACCTATCTCTTCGTAAAAAAATAGAATTCTTTTGTCCTTTCAACTTTGCAACGCGCAATATTGAAAATCACTCGATACCATGAGCAAAGATCATAACGAGACCTGGCTCAATAGTCATATCTTCAGGCATATGAGTGTTGTCACAATGTAGCACGATTACAGCTTGTTTACCGGGCACTCGTTTGCATACGTAGTTGTCGTAAAGTCGCCTTGAATTTTGACGCGTCTCCAGGCTATTGAGTCCCGCAGGCCATTTACGCTCGTGGCAATTTTCCATCAGCTCGTTTATTACGTGCGGCGGACAATTGTGCTCCGACAGTGTCCTCTTAATCATTGTCTACAAAATAATTAGCTTTCTTACTATATTGTTCAATAAATTATTTACCTTTATGAATCAATCAATATTTGAAATGAATTTGACATAACCTTGATTTTAATAAATTAACAAATTAAAAGACTACATTAAACAAAATCTATTTATATGTATTTTTAATGATAAATTTAGCTATATTATACATTAAACAGTTGATATAAAAATTTCAAATTAGATACTGATACTATATAATACCTGAAAATGTATTTGTAAGAGAAAAAAAACGTTTTCTCTGATATATCTTAGTATTAGAATTTCAATTTTTTCTGTGTACCAAAATTCACGCTACCTGCAACAAATCATCTGGAGTAGAAATCATGCCTCCCCATCGAGTAACTCTAGCTCTGGGCAAAGTAGCAGACCATCTAGCAATTTCATCCTTTTCCATTTGCTCAGCAATGTCTCTCATAATAGGATTAGAGACTCTCATTGCTCTCATAAAGTCTTTTAATAAGTGTATCTCTCTCTTTTGTTCGTTGAGTTGTAACTGATGTTCACCTAATTCCCTTCTCATATCAGACATTTGCTTGTGCTGAGTTTGAATGAGATTCCTGAGCTCCCTGACGCAGTTATGATTCTTCATCTCATCCTTGGGGATGATTAGGCCACAGCCTTCATCACAAGTAACAGGTCGTTTGGGATTGAATTCACATTCTTCCAAGTGTTGCCCTAGGGTATCCAATTTGATATCTTGCTGACAACCATGAACATAGTTGTCACACTTGATACGTAACCTTGCCAGAAGATTTCTTAAAATTCTTGGAGCTGGTGACAATTGAGCTGTTGTGGTTGGAGTACGATCTAACGGACAGGTAGGTTGACGATTGATCCATTCAGTCATACAAATACGACAGAATGCATGCTCACAAGCTGGTGCCTATGCAACAATTCAGACAATTAGGTACAACTTGTTTATAAAACATCATCTCACCTGTATTATAGAAATATAGGAAACCTGCACAGGATCTTGTAACACTCCAGAGCAAATAGGACAGATCAGTTCTTCATCGACAGGTCCTTGGAATCGATTGACATCAAAGCCCATTCTCTCACTTCGTGTTTACTGTCGCATGAATGAACGTCTCGCTCTCTTTCTCTTTATTTTTTTCTCACAGGTATTCAGTCTGTTCAATCAATACGATTTTATTATCAAGAACAAACACAACGAATGTTGGAGCGTCTGCTGCACGATCATCTTGACGAAGGTCGAAAAACCTAAAAATAAGAGGGCAAGATAAATCCAAACTACTTTTAGGGACTGCTAGGAGTAGAACGGAGTCGGTCAGAGTAAGAAAGTGACACGCTCGCATATGCAAGATACACACGAAAACGCACTTACGAGACAAAATCGTGGTCTACACGCGGGATTTCCGTCGAGCTGGTTTCTTGCGATTGTTCAGGAGAACGCCAACAAGCACCATGGATGCAATAAACTATATAAAGCCAAAGCTGCCTACATACACGTACAAAACGTCGCTGTCGCTGCGGCAACAAGCGGGTCAATTTACTATATATGTTCTCTTTCTTCTCTCTTGACAAAAATCCCTCACTCCTGCGTTTGTAAACTGACTATGTAGATCTTCCATCTCTTTCCCCGTACGTACATGTGTATATATATGTTTTGTATGTTTGCACTGGTTTGATGAGGTGAACAACAGATGTCACGTCAATGATCTTTTGAAGTTTGAGTGTCGATAAATGTAGAGTTCTTTCTCTTTTCCTCAATTTACAGCGGGACCGTTTAAGACGGTGTTCAACTTCAAAGCTTTTTTTCTCGAATATTTAAATATTAGGTGATGAGTTAACACATCAATCAAAGTTGTAATTTCTATAGATATCTATAAAATAATTAGTTAAGTAAATATGACTAATAATATACGTAAGAAAGTGCTATTAAAGAAATTCATGTACAAACTTGTATATGATAATTTAATACCGATTTAATTTAATTTTTACATTGATAAATATGTTCGACGAATAATTTCTATTAATTTTCGATATCGTATACCGTTCAAAATATTTTGCCGAAAATATTTTTTTCGTCGATAATTTTTCTAGCTTAAAATTTACATTGAAATACAAAATCCTCTCTATTTCTTATATATCAATTTTGACGATATCATTGATAGTATTATTTTTCTTCTAAGTATAGAATGCTGTTTCTTTTCCCTACTCTTTTATATTAATTTTTATAAAGTTTTGTGTACACTTCGATTTTGTGTTCCATTGAAAATGCAAACTTTTTCTATGTAGTAAAATGCAAATATTCCTCTATTTTCCCTACCTTTTTATATCATTTCTTTGAAGTGGAAAACTTCAACCTTTTGTCTTATTGAAAATGCAAATTTTTTCTCAAAAATATCACTCATCGATTGTATTATTAGTCGTGCATTAAAATGCAAAATGCCCTTTGAAGAGCAACGCAGTACTTTATTAAAGTGCAGCATCTATTCTCTCTCTCCTCTTTGTATTAGTGAGACAATAATAGCCTTACCCGAGGTCAGTGAACGAGCAATGCAGTTACACGCGAATGTACCGGGATAAAGCGGCCGCTAAAATTTTACAGTGATAATGAATCGATAAGGATTTTGTAAAAATTTCTTGTCTTATATTATCATTGATTTCGGCAAACGTATCTGGTACAATTGTAAAACTAGCATGTCACACATAATTAAAATATTTGTCGAATTTTCCAACTATATATATCCTATTTTCTCTATCTTAAAAAAAATGATGAATCACCGGCATCCAGCGTTGTGATTGGTTGATGCTAAAAAGAGCGTGAAATTTTGAATTTTCGCATACTTTGAAATATTTCTATTATACGTCTAGGAGTGTGATATTTATATTTCAGCAGTAAATTTAGTTTATGATTGCTTAACATGGATAATAATCTGCAAGAATAGAAACATGACGTTAACAAATCGTTTTGAGAACATAAGACGTTATGTTTTGAAATTATCAGTACAAATCGTTAATTTTATAACTTTCTGAAATACTGAAATTAATATCATCATGTTAAAATTTGGTAGAAATAGAAAGAAAATAAATAGAATAAAATAGATGAAAATACATTTTTATTTTTCGTAAATTGTAAATTAAGAAGTGTGCGAGTAATTATCAGAATATTAAACCCATCAAATTTGAAGAATATTCACGGGCATTTTTATATAGGCAACAAAAGCACACGATATTAAATGTATTGCTCATACTAATAAGATAAGATTAGAACTGTAACCACTACTATTCAGTATGTAAAGTTTAGTGTTGTATAATAATATAATTTATTGATCGTAAGTTGAATTAATCTTTTGGAATTAAGCTTTCCGATATATCTTGAAATGAGTAAAAATTTATCGGTTTTTGTGAAAAATGGGTGCAAGTTCTATTTTTATCATCAATGTATAGTGATGTATGTAGCCTATTTTAAACAGCATGATTTATTTGTGCCCATTAGAATCTCCAAGTTGACACGTAAAAGATTCAAATAATATAATAAATATCATTAGTATTTTAAAAAATGAGTATCACCTATTGATTATCTTACACTGTTGTATTAAAATTGAAAAACGACTAATATTTTATATAATTTTTCAAAATGATACTTTTTAGCTTTATTTTATCTTATTATATCAACTGAATAAATTCACATAACATCTATCAAGTATTTCTCACGTACACAATTTTTCATTAATAACAATCAGATTGATTAACGTTTTATTTATTTTGCGCCAACAAAGTATTCGATATGTTTGCACAATCTGATATGAGATAATAAATACAATCAAGATTATGATGTGTGTAATAAGTGACGGTATATCATACGAAGTAGACACTTTGCGTAGTGCTAACATTGCAATAGTAAATATATATTTTGTTCATTTGTTTCCTGTGATTACTTGTACTTTGCAAGTATTATAATATTTTTTAAATATATCTTTTAAATATTTTATTTTTCAAGAAGGTTTAAACTATCATTTACAAACCATTTGCAACTTTAGAGAATGATTTTGTTTGAAAAATTGTAACAAATAGGAGCTATCCGATCTAATATTCGATTTTATTAGTTACAAACTATTCCCATTGTAACGGTAAACCACAGAAATATCTTATAATAAAGATATAGAAAAATATATGCTATTTTTAAATTTATCAATGATTTGTCATTAAAATATTTTTCCCAAACACTGCATTATTTTTTTATTGGAATTTCATAGTCGTATTTTTTGTTGTAAATATTTGATTAGTAACTTTGATTTCTTAATATTTAAATGAATCCTTATTACTTAGATTGTAAGATATTTTTGTTACAAGAAAATTATATATTTTTACCTTCCGACGAAATCAAAAGATTTCCCAAAATTAAAAGTAAATTGACGACTCGAAAATGTGGTACTTTTATTATTGGTAAAATAGACCAATGTTCTTAATATATGTGTATTAGTTGTGTATGTATAATACTTTATTAATATATAAATGATGTATACAGAAATAATTACATTAGATATGAAAGCGATGAAAATTATATAAATATGTTCTGTTTTATTGATAAAAATAATATATATTAATATAAAAATCAAGTATAAGTTGTGAATATATTTTATCATCAGGATTTAAATACAAAAGTATGAAGTTTATTTGATATCACAAAAAAAAATAATTTATATTGGCTCAAGTCGAGCCCACAGTCCGCCTTGCACCACCGGCAAAAAACTTCTTGGATCCATCACGAGTGGAATAGTCGTCTTGGGAGATAACATTACTCTGCATTTTCTTAGGATCGTTACCATAAGAATCTTTACTTCAATATAACCAAGTCTCAATCCTGGACACATCCTCGGTCCCCTACCAAATGGTAGATACGTAAATTGTGTTATTTCCGTTCTGGTATCGTGATTAAACCGTTCAGGATTGAACATGAATGGATTATCCCAGTATTTTTCGTCAGTATGTAGGCTTTGGGTTGGTATGATAACAAGATTTCCTGGGCGTAATGTGCATTTCAAGCCATCAGCTCCGATAAGGGTTGTCTTTTCATTGCAAACTTTGGCAAAGACTTCCAAAATAGGATTCAATCTCATTGACTCTTTGATTACCTGTTCCAAGTAAGCCATTTCCTTTAAAGCATCATACGACACGTATCCTTCGTGTCTATCCAACGTATCGCGAATCTCCTTTCTTAATTTCTCTTGTACCTCCGTGTGCTGCGACAACCTGAACAATGCGAAACTTGCGATACTCGCGACAGTTTCGAATGCATCAACGAAAAATGAACTAAGGATACTCAAAACGAAACTCTCATCCACGTCGATAGCTTCGTCCATTGCCATATGTAAAAAGTCTTCGTGTAGCTTTCCTTTTTCCTTTCTTCTACTCTTAGAAACATTCTTCGCCAGATCAGCAAAGTATTCTTGTACCTCGTTCGGTGCGAAACTAACGTGGAAGGTCTTAGCTAACCCTCTGACGAAGAAATTGAGAGTTTGCCTGATGCCATTCGTCCAGTTAGGTTCGAACAGTTTCTCAGCTATCTCGACGAAACTTTCCTCGTGCTCAATGCCGAATCCTGCGCTGCACACTATCTCGCCGGTAAATCTGAAGCAGAGATCTCGAAGCTCCACTTCTGCTCGACCTAACCGATCAAGATACTCGTCGAAGTTCGCCGACACTCGACGCATTGTCTCGAACATGATTTTCAATTTCTTTAAGGACATACCACTTAACAGCCTACGACGACTTTCTCGCCAAGTATCGTCGACGGCGAAAAATGGATTTTTTGAGAGAAACCAATCGCGATGCTCATCCAAATGGGTAACGTTGTTACAAAAATTTGAGAATTTCTTGACAATGATCGTATGGATCAACTCGGGATCACGCACTAACAAGACGGGAGTTCGTAGTAGAAACATGCCGAACATACTTGAATCTGAACACTTGTAAAGTCTTTTGCATATCATATTAAGATTTTCACGAAAACACAACATTGACAAAATATTGCCGAATCCTGGAACAGCCGATTCTGCACTTTTTAATCCTTGCTTTTTCCAGTAGTTGTAAGGCCATGTTAAATAGTAGTACACGGCGATCAGTGCACAGAAGATAACTAATAGCACATAGAAGAACGACATTGTGAGAACTGCATTGCTAAAAACTTCATCTCCTTATATAAATTAACAAACTTTTTTACGTTCTGATAGCAGAGATTAATTTTATCAAGCATAAGAAAGTACGAAATCATATGACTAAATGAAAACAGAAACACGTGATGCGGAGTCACGCGTTTTATCGATCTTGTATTTTCAGTGTATTTATAAAAAATGATTCTGTATCGATTATTTCATATTGAATGTTAATCAGAGACTCAGGTTGAACATGTCGGCAATTCAAATGTTTAAATATACTGTTTTATAAAATACAATATTTTAATTTAAAAAAGTTTTTTTTCTCTTATTTCTTAATTTGTTAATATAACACAATTCTTGTATCATCAAGGACTGTTATATCCTAATATTCAACTTTACCATAGTAGGTTATCTAACAAGTATGTAAAAGTAGATTCTTGCCTCGTGTTTGGTTTACACCCGTATAAAGCAAGGATGGAAAAGCATATAAGACGACAAATTCTTGCCCTTTATCTCGCCTCGTGTGCCTTTTTACCCACACTTCGTCCGGACGTAAATCTCGAACGAGGAAAGAATATAATTTCGACATTACGTTTGCTAAGTACGTCTTTCCCGCACGCTTGGCGAAAAACGAGTGTTGAAAATTGTACTTTCCGCACGTCGAAAAAAAAAAAAAAATATTGGCATGACACATGTTCAGGAAAGAGTTTCTCGTCTCGTATGCCTTTTTATCTTCGCTTCGCTCGGGCGTAAACACCACACGAGACCAGAATCTACTTTCCGGAATTTGTATCGAATTGTACTATTTCTGCTCTGGTTGAGTAATTTACTATTTGAAAACAACTTGTACATGCGGGAAAGTCGTACTTTGCGCATGGTGCTTTGAAGTATTTGCAACACTTGAGTTTAATTAATATAGAACTTTATACTTAACATAATACTTATGTATTTTTAGTTTTCATTCTGTTTAACATTGTTTAACATCAACATAAAAGATATTAATAATAATTTAACATCATAATTGATTAAACAAATAAGTTGAAAAATTTTCGACGTCGTTGCTAATTAATGCTAATCTGCCCATTGTGTATGTTTTGAATTTTTGTAACAAATTTTTTTAATAACAACAAAATTAAAATTCTTATTTAATGGTTAAGTTACTTTAGTTACAATATTGATGAAGATCTTCTGATAAACTAATTTGAACTGATTATTTATAAATACAAAGTTGGTTTATTTATAAGATTCAAAATATAGAACTAAATATTCAGAATCAAGGAGCAAATTATTAGCAAAGATTTTATAAGTAATTTAGAGATAGTTTATTTATAAACTTATTTTTATTTGGTATAATTATTTGTATGGTTAATTTTATTCAAAAATAAAATGTTAGGTACAAAGTACAAATATAGAATAACAGTTAAATATATAAAAAAGTTAAACTATCAAATTTCAGAAAAAGTATTTTCATTCTTCTTTATAATTAAATTTCTTATCATTCCATATTAGAACATAAGAAGTTCATTAATTAATTTTGTTTCAAATTTCACAAAAAGTTCATCTACAACTACCGGTAGAAAACTCTTTTGATTCATTTTAAGTGTTAAAGTTATTTCATCCGTTGTTTGCATTTTATATTTTTTAAGAGCGAAATTAAAAGGATTTTTAGTTCCAAAAGAGAAAAATTTATTCCGGGACAAATCCTTGAGCCTTCATCAAATGGTAGAAATGTTATGTGTCATCAGCACATTTCTATAATTTTTGGATCAAATACGTTTGGATTGTATCAACATTTTTCGTCGATTTCGAGATTTTTTATAAATATAATAGCTATGTTTCCTAGTTTAAGAGTGCAGTTTTGACCATCTGATTGAAAATACAGTGACTAGGAGCAAAACTTTATAGAGGCCCGTTTCGAACAACGGTATACGAAACGGGCCGAAAAAAAATTTCTAATGTAAAATGCTGCTTTCTTCTTTTTTTGACTTTATTAATATCGAAACGAACAATAAGCTAAATTGTTTTTGGGATATATAATAACTTATCAGTCTGTGCTTACTATTCTTTTGTTTCGGATACTCCACGCCTCTTTTCTTCAGACATTGATTATAACTGATTAATGTTAAATCTCAGATTAAAAGTAAAAAGAGATTATGATGATATAATGACTGAAAAAGTTTCGTGATTCTGTTAATGGCTCTATACTATCTATCATATATTACAAGTACCAGTACATGGTTCTGAAAGATATTTCAATATTGCTTTGTTTTTTTTATAAAACAACACTAATACTATGTTTGTATTCTTTTTCTTATTCGTTAAGTATTTGAAGATGAAATTACTACAATAATTTAAATACAGGTCCACTAATGATGATCATTTGATCAGGAATGGAAATGTTCTTTGTTTTGCGTACTATTATCTCTGGAAGTATTATGAAAAGAAACATTGTTGTCATTACTCATTATTTTTCATTACTTTAAAATACTGCAATATTTAAGTAGTAGAGCTGTCAACATTTCTATAATGCAATTTTATATAGTTGTCTCACCGGTTTTTTACTAAATTGAGTATTTAATTAGCAAAGTTTATTTCTAGAAAACATTTAAAAATATAGATTTAGATATAGGATTAATATAAATTTAAGAATAAAATAAAAGAAATTAAAATATGATTCGCTAAATTGATTCATTTTTTAATATTACTATTGAAAACAATCAATTTCCAACTCAATCGATTCAATTATTTAACCACAACAATTGAAGATTTGATGAGCTAATAAACTGAATTGAGCTTAAGTAAATTGTAAAATAGATTTTATCAATTCCACTATCAATAAAAAAAGGAGATAATCATACGAAGATTAATTAAGCGGTTACAAATAAATGCGAATAAAAGTTATAATCTACATTTCAGGTTCTGGAAAATGGTAAGTAAATTTGAAATAGAACGAATTATATTAAATGGAAGATACCAATAAATATGGTGTTTCTTTTAATAAAATACAATAAAACAGTAATAGAGTATATATTTTACTTCAATGTTGTACATGAAAATATATTACTTATTTATTAAGTACATCTCTATTTTATTTTTAATAAAAATCAGTCGAAGCATGCTTTCTATTTTAGATTTTTTCCAATTGTACAAGTATTTTTCCTTTTACAGCTGGTAGAAAACTCCGTTGATCCATTTCCAAAGAAGTCACTGTCTTATCTGTGGTTTTAATTTTGAATTTTTGTAAAACCGAGATTAAAAGTACTTTTATTTCCAATAAACCGAACCTCATCCCTGGGCACATTCTTGGGCCTTTGCCAAATGGAAGAAACACGAACTTCGTCACTTCATTTTTATTAAATCTATCTGGATTGAACACATGGGGGTTATCCCAATATTTTTCATCCTTGTGTAGACTTTTGGTGGGTATAATGACTATATTTCCGGGTTGGAGAGTGCATTTTTGACCGTCCGATCCCTCGAGTGTCGTTGTTGTAGTGCAGATTTTCGCATTAATTTCCAATATTGGATTCAGTCTTAGTGTCTCGTTAATTACATTATCAATGTAAGACATTTCCTTTATAGATTCGTACGTCAATTCTCCGTTACATGAATCTAAAGTATCGAGAATCTCTTTACGTAAATTATCTTGTATTCTTTGGTTCCATGCTAATCTATAAAGAACATTTATCGCTACGTTGGTCACAGTATCGAATCCGTTAAAAAGCACAGAACTCAATATGCTCAATACCATATTTTCATTTACATCATTTACATCTTCAAAATTTTCTATAATCATGTGCAGCAAATCTCCGTAATTCCTTTCTTTTTCCATTTTATAATTTTCGATGATATTTTTTGATAAATATTTGAAAAATCGTTGTGACTCTATTGGCATAAAACTGATACCAGTGACTTTAGCTGAACTACGTAAAAAAAAATTTAGCAACTGTCTAATAGCTCGAAACCATGTAGATTCAAACATTTTATTTATCATCACGTCAAAATTGCCTTCAGGTTTTATACCAAATCCAACCTGGAAAATGATTTCACAGATTAATCTGTAGCACATATCTCTTAATTCAATTTCTGAATGATTAATGCGATCGAAATGTTCATCGAAACAAACAGACACTCGTTGCATAAATTGTAATATAAGTTTGAGCTTTTTTTGCGACATTCCGCTGATTACAAGTTTGCGACTATTCTTCCAAGTCTCACCGACAGCGAAGAAAGGATTTTTTGATAAGAATTCGTCGCGATGCTCGTCGAGATATACTAAATTATTTTCAAAAGCAGCAAATTTTGTAACTAATACTTTTTGTACTAATTCTGGATCTCGGACAATCAGAGTTGGAGTCCGCAAATGGAACATGCCAATCATACTCGCGTTGGGCGAGCAATTTCTGTAAATTCTGTCACTGATGAAATTTAAATTTTCACGAAAGAGTAGCATCGGCAAAGTATTGCCAAATCCCGGGACGATTGTCTTCGCATATTCCATACCTTGTTTTTTCCAGTAATCGTACGGCCATGTCAAGTAGTAGTAAAGAATAAATAAAAACACAACGATCAGTGGTAAAACAAGAATCATTTTGAGTAACAGTGTAAGAGCAACTGATTCGGAAAGGTTTTTAATGTCGTTATGCAAGGTTCAGATACAAAGGTTAAGTATCTTATCACGGTAGAGATAAAAATGAAATATACACAGACACTGTCTCTCTTATTGGAAAAGTACCGGTTTGGTCGAAAGTGACATATCATAATAACATCATTATTGTATATAAATATTTTTTATTTATTTTTATTGAACAACAAACTATTGCCAGTTAAATATGTCATTTAACTATTATAACACTCCATTGATAATTTTTATTTCATTATTCATCAGGGACAAACAATATTTTAAAATAATATACTTTGGATATAACTAATTATTATATATTTTTTTAAATAATGACTATTTTACATTTGGTACTTATTTATTATAATATTTTATATAAAAATAAACATCAAACAAAATAAAAATATAGTAATAGCTTGAGCGAAGCTTCCTTTTTCTCTGTCACTTTAATTGTTAGTTACAAAACTTTGTAGATTGACTTATTAAGTGTGATTACCCAAGCAATTCTAGAATATTTTTTTAGTAATTTGCTAAAAGTCCATTAACTTTCCATCCATTGATTTAAATGGGTACTAAGTGAGCCCATAACGTTTCCTTAGCAGCACGTAAAGTGTTACGAGTATCCATCTCTAAAGGAAAGTTTACTTTATCTGACGACACCACCTTATATTGTCTTAAAATTGTGATTAAGACGATCTTAGCTTCGATTAAACCAAATCGCATTCCTGGACACTGTCTTGGGCCTTCACCAAAAGGTGTAAATGTAAATTTTGTTATACTTTCTTTATTATCATCTGCAAATCTATCAGGATTGAAAGTTTCGGGATCACGCCAGTACTTTTCATCTTTATGAAATCCCAGGATTGGTAGGACCACAATGTTACCAGGTTGCAACGTGCATTTCAATCCGTCAGAACCAACGAGAGTTGTAGTTTCCGTACATATTTTTGAATTGATTTCAAGTATAGGATGAAGTCTAAGCGTCTCGTAGATAACCTGTTGCAGGTAAGTCATATCCTGAAGAGCTTCGTAAGTTAATTTACCTTCGTATTTATAGAGAGTCTCATGAATCTCATTGCGTAATTTTTCTTGAACATTCCAATTTTTCGATAACCTAAACAATGCCATACTAATAGCAGTAGCAACTGTCCCAGATGCATCGATATAGAAACTACTTATTAGTGTTGTGGCAGTTTTGAGGTTCATTTCTCCCAATGTTTCCATTGTCATACGTACAAAGTCATCACCCTTTTCATTCTCAACAATACTTTTTGCAACTGCTCCAAAATATTGTCTTATCTCTGCAGTTTCAAAATTCAATTGCAGAATTTTTGCCGCCTTGGGAAGGTAAAAGTTGAACAACTGTTTGAATTCATTGGCCCAGGTATATTCAAAAATTTTACCAGCCATGGTGGCATAGGTCTGATTGTATTCTATGCCAAATCCGGCGTTGCAAACAATCTCATTAGTAAAATGCATACTCAACTTTTTTAAATCCACTTCATTTTCGAGATTTTCGAGATAAGTCCCAAACTTTTGAGATACACGATGCATAGCTTCGAACATAATTTTTAATTTTTTTGAGGACATGCCACTGGCAAATAGGGTACGACTTTCTTTCCACCTCTCGTCCACTGCGAAAAAAGGATGTACGGCGGTAAATGGGTCGCGTTCCTCATCTAGACTAGTAATGTTATTCCGGAAGCTGGAAAAGTCTTTAATTTGCACAGTTTTAATTAATTCTGGTTCACAAATGATGAGCACTGGAGTAGTGAGATGAAACATGCCAATCATGCTTGACTTCGATTTTTTATATAGATTAATACATATGTCACTCAAACTTTCCCAAAAGCATAGTACCGACATGGTATGCCCGAAAAATGGGATAAACGAATTTATAGTTTCCACTCCTTGTTTTTTGAAATAATCGTATGGCAATTTTACGTAAATATATCTTATTATAAATACAATCGCAATAAGTAAAAGCACGCTTAAATAAACCATACTGGTCAACTGCTCGTTAAAGACTGTGGAAGAATTTACGCATAAATTATTTTATCAATTTGGTATAATTCCGTTGGTAAGATAATATGCAATTGGAAATGCTAAATAACCGTGATCAATTGCGTTATTTAGAAATTCAATATTCTAAACTAGAGAAATACTAAATCGATACATTTTAGAAGATATTAGAGTCATTAACTGTATATAGAAGCTAATATTACATATATCTATTTGATAATAATACATTATAGAAATGACAGAATACCGAATAGCTTACATAATGGCGTTCGTGTTTTGAAGAATTACTTGTATCGTGCAATATTAATATCTGCGTAACTTATCTTGCCTGCATTACAAGATAGCGATACTATGTACATAAATCATTATAAAACCAAATAAGAAGTAATTATTTGATTATAGTTTTTTTTTATAAGAATTAATAGTTTATAAAATTAATTATTTAAATAATTAATTTTAATATAAGTCAAAATTATTGTTATTAAAGTTATTATTAAAGTCGGCTGAAAAAAATAAATGTTATTATTAAGGTTTCGTCCTTCTATTTTGAAACAAATATTTCTATGTCAGCTTTACATATATATTATATCTACCAACAATCCAAAGTGAGCAAATGTATCAGTATATGGTGAAAATATAAAACAATGAAATATTTATGATTAATAATTAGTGTTAATAACTTATATTCGATAAATCACTCATCACTTTCGTACATTTTAAATAGATGCACATTCGAAATGTCCTTACATATAAATCCAGTTATATTAGAACAAAACATATTGCGTCATTCGAGCGTTATCTTAACTTTAAACTCGTTCGAGTTTTGTCCAAAGTCCGCCTTTCACTGACAATAAAAAACTACGCGGATCCATTTTTAAAGGATTAGTCGTTTTAGACGATACCTTCAATGTACACTTCCTCAAAATGGTAATTAAAAGCGCCTTGACCTCTAATAATCCAAACCTCATTCCTGGGCACATTCTGGGACCTTCGCCGAACGGAAGATACGCATATTTAGCTATCTCGTTCTTTCTATCACAATCAAATCGACCAGGATCAAATATAAATGGATCGTTCCAGAATTTTTCATCAGTATGTAGACTTTGTGCTGGTATGATAACTATGTGACCCGGTTCCAAAGTACAAGTTTTACCGTCAGAACCTCGAAGAGTCGTCGTTTCGTTACAAATTTTTGCACTGATTTCTAAGGTCATATGCAACCTTATAGATTCATTGATTGTTTGTTGCAAATATGTCATTTCTTTTAATGCGTCGTATGATAAATTTCCTTCGTATTTTTCCAAAACACTATGTATTTCTTTTCGTAGTTTTTCTTGAATTTCTAAGTGTTGTGAGAGTCTGTATAAGGTGAAGCTTGTGATACTTGCTGCTGACTCGAAAGCTTGAAGAAAGAAGGAACTCATTAAACCTGCTAATGTCTCTTCGTCAACTTCTCCGGACGTTACCAAATCCAAAAATAGTTCTTCGCTCTTTTTTCTCTTTACTAGGCGACTTTCAAATACATTCTTTGTTAAGTCTTCAAAGTATTTTCTTACTTCTTTCGATGCAAAGCTGACTCCAGAAGCTGCAGCTAATGTCGGCAAGAAGAAATTCAGCATCAACCTTGTAGCATTACCCCACGAAGATTCAAATAGCCTTCCTGCAATCTTCGTGAAACGTTGTTCGTCGTCGATACCTAATCCAGCATTGCATACTATCTGACCAGTTACTTTTAAGCAAAGATTTTTAATTTCTACTTCCGTTTGATCGTTCGACAAAATTAGATCGAGATGCTCGTCAAATTTGGCACATACTCGTTTCACTGGCTCGAACATGACTTTCAATTTTCTCGAGGACATACCATTGAGAAGACGCGTTCTGTTCTCCTTCCACGTAACACCTGTCGCCAAAAATGGATGTTTGGATAAGAACCAGTCGCGATGCTCGTCCAAATGCATTAGGTTGTTCTGGAAGCTGGAGAACTTCTTGACAAGGACGGATTTCACGAGTTCTGGATCACGTATTATCAGAACCGGGGTGCGCAAATGAAACATTCCTAGCATACTTGAACTTGGCGTGCAGCTTTTGTACAGTCTGTCGCACACGTCGCTCAAACTCTCGCGCAGGCATAGTACCGACAATGTGTGTCCAAAGCCCGGAATCGGTGCAGCTGCCGTTTCGACTCCCTGTTTCGTCCAATAGTCGTAAGTGCATGTCAAGTAGTGATAGAGGAGCAGCAGACAAATTGTGAGAATGATGAGCCCGTAAAAGAGACTCATGATGTGAAACTGTTGACCGACCGACTGGGATTGCAAAAAAGTCCATCACGGCTTATATCAATGTACGATCCATCTGATAGTGTGCGAAGTGCTCAAGTACGAGACTATATTTTTTCTGCGGATTAGGAGCGCGAGCGCGTCAGCCTGGACGGGAGGCACGGCAAGTGTAGCACGCACTTCACGCGTGCTCCGATTTTCAGCTAATTAAAGCCACATTTTGTATTTCTGATAATAAAAAGACTCTCCTATCTTACCCTACTACTCTTCGTCCCTTTTGGTAATAATAAGATAATTAAAGGAGTGCTTGGTAACGAATCACCGATCTAATAAATGCAAAGTAAAAATAATGTGCGCGTGGTGGGGTGATCGTCCTTCCATTCCTGTTTGTACGAAATTAAACAAGCGTCAAGTAAATAATATCGCGAATTTCTGTAGTTACCCTCATGTCTATTTACAAACATTGCGGTTCATTGTGCATTCGGAGTCAAAACCGAGAGTGGCACGCGAAGTTATCGATCAAAACTCGCATAGGTTGTATATTCGCTCTAATGTGGCTAAGTTTTTTTGGATATGAATCTATCGGCAAATGTGAAGTGACACGTGCACTGTTTGGAAGAGTTGAGCTTGAATACTTAGTTGCACGACATTTACCTTACTTACATGAAGAGCTTAGATGATAAGTACGTGTGCGATTTTTAAGTTACATATCGAATAAAACGAGCTCATTGGTTTTCATGAATTGCAAAGAATCAGTGTTTTTCTATCGGCTGGGGAAATGAATTGAAGCTACTGTGACGATTCTATTGATGTTTTGATAGACGCTGATGTCGCGGAAGTTTTTCACCAGCAGTGAGTACGACTTGCGAAACGGTGTAACTGATTTTGAGTCACATTTAGGTTGGGTTATTGTGAGTAAAGTAAAAATCATAAGTTCCAAGTGAAGAGAGAAAAGATTTTGAAGGTGACAACAATGTTTATAAACTTACGGGGATTAGACGTTCTAAAAAATTTCATGCATACTGTTACTTTTAAAAACAGCACAGTAAGAAAGTTCTAAAAGAGTGATTTCTATCAGGCGCATGATAAGCTATTAATGGAGCGGCTCGATCAAGGCGTTATCGAACGTGTACCCGAAAATCAGCTTGCCACTTTCTCTCACTGCTTATAAGCTCGTCTGTAGTTCTCTAGTGAAATCCGCGTGTAAAGGAATTTTCTCTCTCTTAATAAATGCTTAGAAAAAGGCTCCAATTGAATAAAATCAATTCCTGATATTTTGTTGAAATTTCGGAAAAATGAGACTGGTGTGATAGCGGATATTTCAAAGGTTTTTCTATAGATTGAAATTAATTCGAAAGATCAAAACTGCTCACGTTTTCTTTGATTTATAAATGAAAAATTGACAGTTTTATGATATAGGCGCGGAGTTTTCGGTCTTATCATGGTCCATTTCTATTGAGAGTAGTTTTGGATATCACATATCCTGTCGGAACGTTTTCATGATTTATAGTCCGACGAAAATATCGAAAAGTTTGCGAAATCGTTCTATGTCGACGAATGTGATACGAGCATTTCAACAGAACAAGAATTGAGTTCTTTCATCAAAGAAGCTAAAGAAATTATAGCAAAGGGTGGTTTGGAGTTGAGTGATAGGATATACGGGCAACGGCACGTAAAAAGAAATTACTCAGGTGCTTGGCATTTTATTCAATAAATCGAATGATACGTTATCGATTGATCCCGCTTTACTGGGTCAGTGTATCAATGATATAACAAAACGTAGAATTTTATCAGTTGCACACAAAGTTTTTGACCCAATCAGATTCGCGAGTCCGCTAATGTTAATACTGTTAATAAGTTCATTTGGAAAAGAAATTGTGTGAATTAAATGTCGATTGTAATGCGAATGTTGACGATAACGCGAAATAAATTTTCATTATGGCACGAACAATTCACGTATTTAAACAAGACCGAAATTCCAAGAAAGTTCAGATTAGGTACGTTATCTCAACACACCTTTTCGGACGCAAGTCAAATGGCGTACGTCACGATTACGTTTTTGAGCACCGAACCTATACCCATTGACTCTGGTTAGACTCAACAAGGGTTTTAGCATGGTTGCATAGAGACAATCAATAGGGCACGTAAGGTTGGAATCGTGTACGAGAAATAGGTCGATTATCGACTTCGCGTAAGTGGCAGCACGTACTGCGTCCAGAAAACCAAGTTTATATTCCGTTGCGCGGACGCCAAGCTGAACAGTGAAATTAAAAAGTCGGATTAGATAGCAATATTAGGTGACAAGGTTAATTTTAGTATCGCAAGTCAATTCTCGTTATATGCAAAATTGAAAACATTTGTCATGTTAATGCCTAGATACAAGAATTTTATCGTAAACAAATGAGTTCCACAAGACAAATATATATTGTTCAAACCGGTATAGAAGATAGAGTGTACATTTTTGAGTTGTGTACAGAAATCAATGTTTTTACCTAAGAACGAATTAAAACTGGGATCATTACAGACATTCTTGCACACCGATAGCTTGTTACGTTTGAGAACGACAATTAGCAAATTTTCCGTTTCGAATGGAATTACGTTACATAATAAATAGAGAAATGTAGAATTGATTAAACAAGAGGAACACGAGAGTACATGATACGTAGATGTAAAGTCAGTAATGTGTCGAGTAAGAGAGAAATATTGGTTCTGTCAAAGCGAAAAACTACAAGAAAAGTAATCTCTGCGTGTATTGTTGGTAAGCGGTTTTCTGCAAAGTCAATGCAAGCACACTCGCCACCTTTACCACTCAATCGCGTGAAAGTTTCTGTTGCCGGACCTTTGTTCTTACGTGGGCAACAGTAGGGATGGATCTGTCTCTCGACTTGTGCTATATGTCGAGCAGTGCAGTTAGAGTTAAACACGTATCTATCAGCTAATATCTCTTTAATGTCACTGCGTCGCTTTGTAGACCGTCGCGAACGTACGTTAAACATTTATTACAACAGGACAAATTTCGTCGAAACGGATAAATGCGCTGGAAAAATTAAACTAGGACGTGATCTAGACTGACAGTACAGCACCAAAAATAACGTGCAAAAATAAGCCATCCTCGGCACCATGGTAGGGAGGCTGGTAGGAAAGATTAGTAGACATAGTAAAAGTTATTTTACGTAAAGTGCTCGACAAAAGTTGTCTCACACACGAAGTGATAGGTACGATTCTGTGCGATTACAAAAATACAATAAATTCGCCCGTGTTGACGTATATTTCCGATGCAGCGGACGATTTGACACCTTTGGCTCCAGCAATGTTTCTTCGTGAAAACAAAAGCTTCGAAAATTCAGACTATGATATTACCATGGCATTAAGTAATGAATCATTTGTACCAACGTTTTCGAAAAGTATACTTGAGTTAATTAATTCTTAAAAGTATATGAAAAAAGAAGATTCGCCCAATCTAAGCTTGTGTGGTTATATTAAAAACTAAACACGGAGTGCCAAAGTGTCCGTTACAGTGTATTTATCCTTTGCAGAGGAATTGCAATGAAAAAGAGGAGATAAATTGAACATGACAAAGGACCTGTAAGAGAAAATTCCTGTGTAGGATGATAAATCCGAACAAATTGAAAAGATATTCAGAAGTAAAAACGGACGTATGAATAAGAAAGCCGATTGTTATAAATTATATCATATTTTTGCTGTATAGGAAATATTTTATGAATGACTTTTGATTTAAGGATTGTTCGATGTACCTTGTCACTATTGTAAGCAATTTTAATGCTTTTAGTTCAAGGACTTAAGTTGGAAGGATATGCCGAGTTCTCAAGAGTCTGTATTTTTTCTGTGGATTAGGAGCGCTAGCGCAAAAGAGAAAGAGTCACGACAAATATTTTGTATATCTGATAATACATAGTCTCCTATCTTAGTCTACTATTCCCCGTTCCTTTTGGAAATAATAGATAGGACAATAAAAATCTATGCATGTGTACGATAACGCGACAAATTAGCCTTGGATTTGCAAATTCTTTTCGAAGACTTTATTCTACCGTTAATCGGTAGAAATAAATTACATGTGTGTTTCGATAAAATTTTACAATCAAGCTTAACATGATAATTTACTCGTCACTGTATACTGAAACTTTGTGCATTTTAAACTGAAATTTCGTGAATTATCTACTAAATTTGGGTTATATACTATACTATAGATGCTTCAAATTTGTTATTTTATAGTTAAAATCCATTGATTACTTTACTTTTACAGCTACTACAATTAATTACTAGAAATAATATATATAAACTATAAGTGATTATATCAAGCACTTATCGTAGTAAAATGTGTTGCTCAAGAGTGTTAGTTATCATGATAAGCCTTTAGGATTCATGTTTTTTTGATAGCCTTAGTCGCATGTGTCTAATCCGCAAAGTCTACTTTGTTTTTACGGAAACTCGTCCGCGTTTAACGCATTAGCGCTTTCTCGTGTTACTCCAGCAGCACCAGTACACTGTAAGTTAAAAAATGTCTTAATTTTATTAAAAAATGAATAAAAGGTCAAATCAATAACGAATATTTCGAAATATATTTAAATGAAAAATAATAACAAAAAAAGGATTAATAATGCAATTACATAATTTGTAAGTACAACATACAATTAAATGAAGAGAATACAAACATTATTCGAAAAAGTAAAAAGATTGAAAAATATTTATCATTCATAATTGATTATGAAAAGGTAGTTCTTGTTATCCAACGAATCGTATAATTAGGGGAGAGAGCGAACGTATCAAAATAAATAAAGCCGCCACGAAAGCGCAACAGCCCGTTATATTTTCTTGACGCATTTATGCGGCTAAGTGAATTAAACTCTTCCACCTACGAATTAATTTCTCTCTCTCTCTCTCTCTTTCTCTCTCATTTTCCTTTAATACTATGCAGCAGGCAGCAACAGCAGCAGCAGTAGCGGTGGCGGGGAACAATGGCGAAGTTACAAGGCGGATAAACTGAATTTAAAGGCC